TTCTCATTCAGATATAGCAAGCGATCATGCGTGCCGTCGCTCGCAATGTGGAAGAGATTTGCGTCTGCGGTAGACCCAACCACCACATCGTACGTGGGATGGAGTTCAAATCCGTAGACCCACCCTTTGTACGGAATATTCCCTGTACTTTCATTGAATGACATACTTACGAAATCCAGCGTCAAGTCACAATTTTGCATGCCGAGGAACACCTTTGTAGGACTGTGAATGGCTCGACCGAATGTCAACCACGCTTGTGCGATGCCACCATCTGTGAGCACTGTCGCATTCATCCAAGCAGCAGAATCGGGAGTATTCTGATCGATTGCCTGTTAAAATACCCGGAAGGAACATCAGCCGAAAGCTAACGTTTATCAAGCGCATTGGTGGTCGTACTTCAAACCAAGGTAGGGTCGAATAGTCGGCAGTAAAGTTTGCATACATAACTTGACTGGTTATATTTGCGGGATCCATTGACCACCAAGTCGCATTGTGTCTGTAAGATTTTGCTACTTGATAGAAGTTGCTACCGTCCGCATTCTTGTAGATTACCGCACCCCAGAGTTCCCCTTCTGGATATGTTATATAATATTGTGAGATATAAGAGTTTTCATTCGGAAGTAAAGTGTTGATATGGAAAATGATCGTCTCCTCCTTGAGAGCATATGTATCCATTTTATAGGATCCGTGCGCCCAATTGCGGACATGCACTTCGGTGGATATCTCACAGGCGTGTACCCGCTCCAACACATCGGACGAGATGGTTGCAAGGAGTCCAGCTTGGAGTGACCCTGCTAGGGTTGATGCAGACGCCTATAAGAGCAAATGTTTAAAAAATTCTATGCCGATCTGACCGAGACATTCCCTATAGTCGTAGACATACCAAGGCAGCATGATACGTAAGAGCCCATGCCACAAGCGCTACTCCGGCGGAGACAGGAACAAGGAACAGAATGAGGACCAGGACGATAGGTAATCTTCCACGCTTTATGCCTCTAATTGCGTTAGACCAGGACCACACGCTGCCACTTCTTGGTTGGCCGCTGTTATCCAGTGACTTTGTTGGGTCGCTGGATGCTGACACGCAGTCGACGGAAGCACAACGAGACATTGATTTTGAGAATTCAGAAACTTATGCGAACGGAAAAAGTATGACGGAATGAGATGCCATTTAGTATTTAACCTGGAAGTTTTAAGTATCTGTATTTGGTTTAAAGCTTCATATGACCACGCTCGAGACAAATATCTCGGGCGGAGGTTTCCATGTTCCTGCGATCAGCGCCGCAAGGGTGTAGGAAGCCCATCTTATTGTAAACAAAAGCAAGCTATTACAAATCTTTTAAAGTTATGGTTGCTCCAGACTTGTCCGGATTGCAAATAGAACAATGACGATCCTGATTGCAAATAGAAACAATGCAAGAACGTAAATCAGAAGTTACGTAACGTCGGTCACCAACATACGGGCGATGAACAATGACCCTGGCAAATCATCCTTCCAAAGGGAAACTGTATAACTTATTGCCTATCCGACAAGTGACAGCATCTATCGGAAATTGAAAGTGTCTTAGTTCAGCGTCCAGGTCCTGCATGCTATTTACCACAGAACCGTTGAGGGCTGTGCCAAATGTCCATGCAATGGACGCATGGAAAGACGGATTCTTTTGGAAACTTAAGCATGAGACAAAAGAAGCCTGCACATGACTGCGAAGGATTCTGTCACCCACATCATAAAATGTATCTTGGCGAAATTGTGCAATCACACTATTCACATCCTTGACAAGAGACGCTAGCTGCAAAAAAGGTCAGGCCAGGACGGATTTAATCTTATTGGCGTTGCTCACCTCATCTTGTCCATGTCCAACATCAATGCCAAGAAAAGACCGACTTCCATCGTCATTGGTATAATTAGTGATATTGGTGAAGCCAGTTGAAAACCTGCAAATCAAAGTGAGCTGACAGAAAACGCACTCTTGCAAAAGAGAGACTTGTACTCACCTCCGGCGTCCCGTTAGCTTTCTCGTCAGTACGTTCACAAATCGATCGATTTGAAAGACCTTGAGAAAGACCGTTCGAGACAGGCTAATATGAAGACCACCTTCCAAAAACTCGACGAACTGTGTCGTCGGCACCATTGCGCTTGCTCGCTGATTGATACGCCCAATGAGATCGAGGAGATTCACAGAAGGGCGGACTGTTGCTGTACAGTAAGCAGCAGTCCGACACAATGACACTCTCAACCTTTGGCTCACATGAACAGTAAACATATGTCGGCCAGTTTCCTTCTACAAAAGGCGCCTGTCGAATTCGGGACATTTCCTCGTCGACATTGCTTCGCATACTTTCCCCCCGTCTTTGTTTCTTTTCAGGTTCCGTTAATGGGGTGCGGGACGTTGAGTCGCTTCTTTGCCTTTTCTTTTCTATGAGGCCATCTTCTGCGGAATCGTCTTCAGAGTCCGAAGTTGTTGGGTAATCGACGAGGCTCATTGGTTTCCAGTGCATGCGGGTTGCGCCCGTCCGAAGTGCGCCAATCTCCCACTTGTAGCCGCTGCACAAGGTTCACTGATGATGTGGGATCGCGGTCCTACCCGCTGGCGTTGGACGTGATGGCGTCACGGTGCCAATGGCAATGATGCTGGGCATTACATACGCATACACATGCACTTGCAAGTGGCGGCTTGCAGTAACTGGTGCAGTGTAGAATTAGTAGAAACTTGCAAATTGCCAATGGCTGTTTATAACAAATTACATTGCGAATCTTGTTTGCCTGCAGTAGGGCACTGTAGCCATGCATTTTCACACTCATGAAACAGTCCACCAGTCGTCGGCAATGCTGACAGACTTACGACAATGTCAAAGAGATTTGCAAAGCTGAACGTTTGCTGAACCTTTGATATTGACGATTTGACGGACACAACACATCTACACTTATTACAACTCAACAAAGGTATGCGCACAGTGGTTATCAGCTTCGAAATGACAAGGCTATTACTGGGTGAACGGCTTCTTATTGCCCGCTCTCCCAGGAATCGCTTTCCCTGTTTTCTTCCCATGACGCTCACCACCGATGCCTGCTGAGGCCCGCACTGTCGCCTGTCGCCGTTCCATATCCGCAGCCCACAACGCAGCGCCGACAGCATTGGTGAACTTTGTAATACTGCCTAATAAAGGCACGGTCTCTAATGCTGCTGCCACGAACCCAAATTGCGAATAATCATTCCTCCTGGCCAATATCCATTTGGCACGTTCATCAGGGGACATATTTTTAAGTTTGAACAACCGGTGGTGAGCTTCAATTGCTGTTCGTTCGCCTTCAAGGTAAGCATATGCGAGCGGTCCAACTACTGGCACGAATTCAAGTGCGAAACCGACTGCAGCACGCGCCGGACGGCGAACAATGTCGGTGACATTAGAGCGATGCGTCGCCAGTTGAGCTAAATCGCGCAGCGTTTTCTGCTGTTTGTTTTCTTGGTGAGCAGGCAATGTATGTGCAGGGTCCTCCACAAACGGCCCAATGTCGACGTGTGCATGTCGAAGTAGCACTTCGTCAAAGAGACCTGCTCGTGTTGCTTCCAAACGGTTTCCGAGGACAACCCAAACTGCAAGTGAAGCTTCCCCCATGCATAACAGCAGAGCTATCCATGTTGCTAACCGTACGCCGAGAACGGAAAGAGCTCCAAGGCGCGGGTCGATGGAGCGAAGGAATCGGGCAACTAGCTTCGACTGCTGATTGAATGTCATGAACAGGAGAGGCCTGCACGCGGATGATGATGAGCGGTGCGAAGATCTCGGTTTCCTTCAAACGAGACACGAGGACTTACACTATGGTAGCAATCGATATTCCGAGCACAACTGAGAGTGATTTTCCGACTGGTGCTGCCAAATCTTTAAAGTTGGTCACTGTATAAAGCATGCCCGCGAATGGATAGCCGGCAGCAGGAATGGGTTCTGGCATGTTGGGAGATGAAACAACTAGATATCAAAGCGTTTGGGAGAAGGTTCGATCAGTGTCGGTATCGTTTGATGTATTTTGGATGGCAGGCTATTTTCACGACCAAAAATGATGGAATAGTTTGAACAAAAGATGGGCCTGTTGGTATTTATTTTCATATGCAGCTTTATAAAGTAAAGCGAACGTCATTTGTGTCAAGTTTAACATAAGAATGTCGAGGCGAAAGAGTGGATGTGTGGTCCCCAAAACCTCATCGAAGACGGTGGGTCCCTCCAATTTAATGCCCCACCCGATGAAATCACTCTTCCGTCCCTCATGACGCGCTGCTTCCCTTTCCCAATACCACGCGATCATTCAAGCGATCGTTCAGAAAAGTCTAAAACTTAAACATTCTGTAAAAAATGTTTGTTATGTTGAATCTCGCAGCATCATCAGCCATTTTCCGTTGCCCCCGATGTTGGAGTGGTGCATCGCCAATTGAACGATCAGAAGCCATTTTGTAGTCTGTCTGACTATGTACAAGATACTATTTACATGATAATTAGTCTGACGCACTCAGGAGAGCATATCGATGAGAAATCTGGCTCTCTCATATGAGTCAGTCTCAAGCTCTACATCTGTAACCGCATATTCCGGCATGGCCAATGCCGTCCGACTGAGGGCGAACTACAAAAATCAGGATGTCATCAGCTATTTGGCCGAGAGGTTCATAGTGTGCAGATGAAAACTTCACAAACCCGCAAAATAGGACCAGATAGCATCGCGGATAATTTGTTTGCAACGCTTTCCCACTCCTTGGAATGGAAAATCATATTGACTTGTCGAGCGCTCTGCGTTTCGCGCAATGCATTTCCGTAAAGACTCTCTTCCACGAACGCATCGAGGGTTGATGCCAAGACAAGTTCGGGATTTATAAACTCTTGTACATCGGGCTGCATATTTGGGCACCATTGCTGGAATCGACTCCGGAAGTCGGCTTCCGCCAATACAGTCGCGGATGACAGTAAACGGAGGAGCAGAGATACTGGTTCTGTTCCACTAGTATCGTGGCCTTGAGATTCCGCTGCTCGTAGTCGCGCTGCCCTCAAGCGATGCATGAGTACATTTCCCCAAGGCATTTGCTGCAGTTCAGCAGGTGTAGCATGGAGCAGATCCAGAAAAAGCGATTTCTCACTTTCTCCCTGTGCCTGAGTAACCAATTGGACAAGCTTCACGAATAACTTCGATGGCAGGACACAGATACGGACACACGAGCTGTCGTCGATGTGCAGGAGAACGGATCCCATGCCAGTTGCCAATGTGCTATCACGCATTGCGTCCCGTACGACTTTCGCTGCCTCTACTTCCTTTACGATTTGTGGCTCATCGCTCAGGGCTAGTATCGTCCTGGTTGTCCCATACTTGTCCCTCTGCAACTGAACGCCTATCCGGACAAAAGGCAGAACATTTCCATTGACAAACACAGTTTGCTCTGCGGGGCTAGTACTGCCAGATTCGACACAATGTGCGGCACCATTGCCCGTGGCCTCCACGAGGTGGTAAGACTGAGGTGGGGGCATAGGCTTTGATATCTTCATGACGCTGGTATCAAAACCTGTCGGATTGGGTACTCTATATGCCTTCTGATAGAAGGCTCCGCTATATATCACATTCCGATGGAGGACATTGCATTTCGATTCTCTCAGTCGTTGTATCTCTTTCTCATCACTGCGATCATATCGCAGTCAGCCAATCGGTAGCAATTAAATAATAGATTAAGATTACTCACCACTTCCTCCAGGTCTCCAGCACTTGCTTTGCCTCACGCTCCTGATGTCCTCGAGGAGCGTGCCTTATTTCCGCGTTGCTGGAAGCTTTCAGCTTATGCAGGCCAAATCCTGAGTCGTAGCAAATGTATTCTAGGTTCCGGCAGCAAAGCGTATCGTTCGGCTACAGAATTGAGTGATGAGGACTCCGCCAAGAGCAGTTTCTAACATGACCTGACCAACGAAACGCACCAAGAAATTAAGAGCCGACCGAGCTTTAGAGTATAATTGAATCACGACGACAGAGTTCGATCTGTCGGCACAGAGCAGGTTCCTGAAATAACGCGTTGGCCCGTTCATTACTGCATGTTCAAAAAGTTCTCCTACATCTGATAGTTTGTCAGTAACTATACGGTCCCGCGAGTCTCTGGAACGAGCGACATACCCAGGATTATGACTACAAGATCTACCTCCTCGTCCTGTTGACATCCATAAAGTTCTCCACATCGCAATAATCGGCGCTCGCGATACATGGTTGCATCCAGCCGATCTTGAGATACAGGACGCTCAACATATACTGTGTTGCGTTGTGCTTTCAGGTATAGACGGCAGCGAGCATCTCGGGTGTTCTCTTTGACGATTAAGTTATAGATCTGCAGATGATATAAATGAGACGAACTTTAGGGTGACATGAACGGCCCGCTATTGACCTTAAATCTTTTCCCCTCCTGTAGTCGACCCATCAGAGCTTCGTCGGGACTCCAAATAGTCAGCATGGCCTCGCGGGTCCTATCAACCGAAACATCTCTCGGAGGATAGTCACAAACGCGGAAGGATATAAAGTGGGTGACATTTCGTGGCGGCGCCGCCGTCTATCAAACGCGAGTAAGTACCAACTTGGCTGTGTCCAGCTTCACAGGCAGCCCACCTCAATTCGATCACGTATCTCTTCCATGACTTCCGCTTGCTCTCGCTCCCATGCTTCGCACATAGACTGCCTTAATGCTTCTTGCTGCTTAAAATCTAGCTGCGCAGCAAACGCCATTGGATCATCTGCAAGTTGCATGTCCTGGTACAGTTGTTCTCCATCCGGCTCTTCAGAAGGACCCACTACAACGACCAACCTTACATTAGGTTTGTAGTCCAATAGGAAAGTAAATGGGAAGCGCACCTGCAGATGTCCGTTGCCGCTTGGTAAAGCGGTCGCTTGCAGGACGCGTGATGGGTTTGTCGAGCCCCCTTTCGTATTCGGCGGCAAGCTTTTGATACATCAGCATATAACTATTCTGCCAGTTCCTAGCAGCCTCCTCTTCTTCCTTTTCCGTCCGAACAATGCCACTGCCGCCTTCGACTTTCTCGTAATGTCGCACAGCATATCGACGGCACAAGACGACGTCGATACATGGAATTGGACCACCGTCCGCCATCACCTGACGCAAACCTAGTGTGAAGCTGGGAGCGCGCTGATAACCTAAGCGAGCATCCCAATATGCACGTCTAGTGCCATTAGCAGACAGCCGCAACTGGGTGTTATCTGTGGCCTCCAGGACGGGACACGGCTCAGGTGGACCTAACAACTAAAATGTTCCAATATTAGTGTTGTCCACCTTTCATTGGACTTGCGAGGTCAACCAACCTGTGCCCCGCATATGCGCAGCTTGCTGCCAACCGCGATGTTACCCTTTTTGATCTGGCGTTCCAAAGGGGCGTCAACAGCCGCCTTGATTTGATACCATCCATCAGTCAACTCTAATGCCCAACTATTTGATTCTGCATCTGACGTTAACAAATCAATTAATCGATCAATACCATGTTTAAAAGGATTCAAAGCGAAGTCCTCCTACCAATTTGCCCGGTAGGATCCGCAGCGTTGTTCCTTGAAAACCGTCTCGCAACATCAGCAACACACAGCACCAGAAAACGGCTAGGTGCATTGTCGCGTTCGATTATTAACTTGACAGCGGAGCGCTGGGCGCGATTAATCTCCCGTTCATATCTTCCGCGAGGAGGGTGAGGGTGTGAGTGTCATTTAATGGATCCCTGCCCATATGGCCCGTGTGATTCAGAGACACGCACCTGTAGCGCATCTGCTCAACAACTTTCTTGGGGTTCCAATAAGCTTCAAGCAGCGACGGGCATGATCGGACCATTGCAGCCAATTTCCATACGATCCACCGATAATGGTTTTGTACCCATTCCTCGGTGGCAAGATTGGATTGTCCGCCTGCGGCGATGAGTGCATCTCGGGCTTCCTTGACACCCCATTGCTGCCAGGCACAGTCAGTCACAGGGCTGGCCTGAATTTGGAACTCAAACGTCTGGGCCTTTATGGGGTCCATCGCCAGAATACATTCAGTGCTAATATGATGTTACTCGAATTTGCCATGAAAATCACCAGAGTCAGAAACCAAATAACATACATTCCCAGATCCCGCAGTTGATCGACGGTTTGGGTTCGCCATTCAGAATTGAACGTTTCCCTCAACGTCTTACGATCTTCCACTGCTACACAAAGATGTGAGTTCTGATGTTTCGACATAATGGAATACTTCTCGATTCATACTTGAGAGGCTGAAAAGCTCTAACGGTTGCGCTTTCTCAGCAATCGGCGTTTCGACAGGTCGCAATGGTCCGTGGCTAGACGAAGGAGAATTCTCGGTTGATCTAATTCTCGCAGCTGGATGCAGAGTTTTTCTTTTGGGGGTTTTCAAATTCGCAGCGGTGCCGAAAGGGCTCGTGAAGCCTTTCTGGCGCTTGAATCCAGTTGGAGTGGGTGTGGTTGGAGTACTAGGACCTCGTAACCCTGGCATACGAAATACTTTTGCGAATCCACCGCCAGGAGTAGTGTTAGCTAACCGCTGTGGAGCTGGTCCTTGCTTCATTGGCGTCCGCTCCGGTTTCCTTTCCGACCTTGAGGTGACACCATTGCGTACGTCATGACGTTGAGCTTCAGATTGTTGACCAGCTTCTGAGGCCGCCCCGTCACGCCCAGTGTGAGATACCCGTGCGTTTGGGGTAGTATTAACCTTGGAAATGCTGGCTTCCGGCGTGTGCTCTGCAATTGACATCCCTGAGGGCAATTTAGCAGAGGTTAGTGCACCCACCGAATCCGCCTTTGCTTCGCCCTCCCAAAGACCAGTGACCGTTTCCAAAACACTACTTGCGCTCCTTCGCAATTCCTTCCCACTACCACTCCCAGGGGTAACGCTTCCACGTGTTGCGTGTGAATCAGACGGCAATGCATCATTATCGACCCATAGCGCTCTTGCCTTGGCCAGAGAGTCACTTGATACAGATGGCAATGCCTTTCCTCTACCAGAAGTGAAGCCTCCAAAACCACCGCCCCTCGATTCCGGATATGTGCTTCGTGAACTCATATCTGTATCATCACCCAATAATGCACCCGCCTTTTTGAGGGCCGCTGCTGACACGGGAGGCAGTGATTTTCCGCCCCCAGAAGTAAAACCTCCTGTTATCGTACTTGCGGGCTCGTCAAATGGCGTTGGATGCTTCTCATGCTCCAGAAGTGACATCGCCTTCTTCAGCGCACTCCCTGACACCGGCCGCAATGCTTTTCCTCGTCCCGTGGCAAATCCCACGAAAGCTCCACTTGGAGGTGAACCTTTGACTTCCACTTGATTCGTACTCGGTGACACAACCGGCTGATGCACGTCGTCAATTAATGGCTTCTCTTTCTGCTGGACAGGGAGCTCCAGCGTATTTATTGAAGACTCGTCCTGTTGCCATAATAAATGCGCCTTTTCGAGAGCCGCCTTCGACAAAGCAGGAAGTTCCTTTCCACCTCCGGTTTTAAAAGAACCGAAGCCTCCTTCATACGACATGTCGGTCAAGTCATCTCTTTCACCTGCTCCCAGATGAGAGGGACACTCCGGTTGTCGAGTCGCTTTGCACGAAGCGGAATTCGTCATAGGAGACACACAATTGCCAGCGGTATTGCCGTGGTCACCGACCTCGTCGTCTTTGAATGGGGGGATTCCTACGTCATTCGACAAGATGCAATTAGCCCGATCCATGGCAGCCCTAGAAATCTTGGGTAAAGTCTTGCCAGCGCCCGACATGAAACCTGGAAAGCCCATAGTAGCAGGCTTGTCCACTATAAGTCCGGTTGAAATCCTGGGACCTTCTTCTTTGAACGCATTCTCGGATAGGAATCGTCTTGCCCGGTCAATTGATGCCTTTGAAATTATTGGTAAACTCTGCCCCGAACCCGTAGTAAAACCGCCATGATTTTTTACTTGTGGTTTATCATCTATTAACGGATTTTCAGGGGCAGAGGTACCTAGTGAAGCGTCGCCGTTTGATAGTAGTTGTTTCGCGCGATCGTGTGCCGCTTGGGATACATGTGGTAAGCACGTCTCGAAGCTGCATCCCATCAAGTCTTCTGATTGCATAGCGTTGACAGTTTCTGTTGACCTTGGTTGGCGCTCCTCGGTTGACAATATCCGCTTCGCACGCGCAACTGCCTCCTTGGAAACGTTCGGTAGAACTTTCCCTGAGGCTGCCTTGAAACCTGCGAACTCGACAAAGTTGTCACCGATACTCAAGCCTTTCTCCGGCGCCAATCCTGAGGATATCTGATCAAACTCGTTCAAAGGTGTGGAGTCATGTACCAACGACGGAGATGGGTGATGGTCGATCAGACTGTCATCTGCCGAGATTCGATCGATACCGTCGCCGCCCTCACGGATCTTCGTTAGGTCCACCGTATTAATCGAATTTGACGACGACCTTGGTGCTCGCTCAGTGATGATGCACTTTGTAGGTGGCTCCACTTCCAATCTCTCCTTTATCATGTCATTTGATATGGTCAAGACGGCCGATGGAGACATATGTTGGTCGCTCATGTTAAATCCTCTGTATACTAAGGGATCCTGGCGAAGTGACCGCAGGTGGCCTGGAGCATCCGTAATCATGTCTATGGACTGACCTGGGTTATGTCTCATGTTTAGATGAGATGTGTCAAAGGCGGCCTCGTGAAGAATAGACGCGGCATTGTTTTGATTGATTTCGGGGTTGAGTTGCATATCTTCTCCCGCGTCATATGTACTCTCATCGGGAGTGCCACGGGGATTGTGAGGGACCCCGCCATCGTTGGTTGGGGCAGATTTTCCAGGATTGGCGACTGAGATTCGGCCAGATGAGTGACCGTGAAATGAGGCACGACCCAAGTGGGATTTGCGTAACATCGCATCCAGCTGTAGATCCACTAGGGATTTTGGCGTGAGTGAATAGTCGTTCCCTGAGCTACGTTTACCATAACGGAGCATGTCTGGATTAGGCTGTCTGAGACGCCCAGCATTGTTTTGGTCGTCTTCCTCTGCCACCAATCTTCGAGATGCCTCCATAACTTCTGGGGCGATGATGACCGCCTTCCCTGACGCCGTTTGAAATCTGGTCATTTCGCCTTGCTTAGAAGTATCGGGCAGGACTGACGACTGAATGCATGGAGGATTTGCAGTCTCATAATGTGATATCTCCTGGTCTAGGACTTGTAGAAGACTGGGAGTAATCTCGGGTTCTTCAAAATCATACTCCTGAGACTCAAGTGGGACCTTCGAATCCACTGTGATGTGAAGTTCCGATGTGCCGTCAGTCGGATTTACATTCCGAACCGTCCCCTCCGGGTTTTCTGGGGGAGTGGCACGACCGCCCTCCGAACTATGCTTATTGAACTGCTTCGCATGATGCACAGCCTCAGGGATAGGCTGATCAAATTCGAAATCAGGATAATCGTCTCTCCAACTGTATTGAGAAGGTTCGGGTATCATGCCGTGATCAATCTTGTTAGTCTCTTCGCAGGGAGTGCGTTTCTGGTGACGCTCGACTTCGACGATCCGCTGCTCTTGGTAGCCATGCGCATTTGTTTGCATTCCGTCCATATGACACAGATTTCGCTCAACTGCGATTCTGTCGGCTTCCCTTCACCAGCTATCTTCAGATTTCTGCGGACGATTATGATAGCACTCATACCAGACTCACCTTATATGATTCTCCTGGGACGGTTTCATTTCAGCCAGCTCACTCCTTATCACAACCGTTTGGGCAGAGATGTCATGGCATGCAGGTAAGACCTCTGGGGATTTTCCTTTCGACTGTTGTATGCCAATATCGTCTGTATCAGTGATGGCCAGTTCCCCTTGTTCAGCTACAGCATGAGCCTCCACCAAGCTCTGGAAAAACTCTCCATGATCACTGGTATCGACGATATCCGCCTCATCAATTGTGAGGCTTGCGCGGCTGGCGCTAGTATTTATTGCTGGAAAGGGTCTGGGACTCTCCGCGTCAATCACCGGAGAGGAAGCCACATCATCCTGACCTCCGGCTTGGAACGGGTTATATATCACGTTTCGCATCCTGTCTGTTCCATACATGAGCATATGTGATATAGAGAGTATACTCAAGGCATATCAATTCTACCTTGGCTTTCATGGGCGGGTGGCCCTTGAACATTTGAATTTGCAAGCCTCTCTTCTGCAGCCAACGATGAATTCTCATTTCTCAAGAGTACGTCTATCCTTTTTTGCGTGTTTTCCAGCGAACTGTTGCAAGTCGTTCTAAGGAACGGTGAGATGCTCTCATTCGAAGTTTCAGCACATGTCGTTGCCTCGGTGTCGTTCTCATCACATTTCAGTTGCTCTAAGGCGAACTTGTGATTGATCTCATATCGATCAAGTTCTAAACTTCGAGTGCGTTCATGGTTCAAGTCCCCGCACACCGACCAGCTAGACGAACGTTGGTCACCAGCCTCATCTGCTCGCGGGCTACTTTGCGCCTCAACTTTGATCGTCGCCTGAGTTTCGTTTCCATCTGAATTACATGTCTCCCGCTCCTCTTGCTGCAGATGCTCTGGACCCATCAAAAAGGCGGGCGACTGGGGGCTATTCATCCTTTGTACTTTACAGGAATGGACCATCCCATGATCGTAAGTTACACACTTTGAATCAGATCCACCTTCTGCAAGGGGTGACGCTGTATGTGTCTCCGGGGTGTCCATCAGAAGACCACCCTGAGAGTCTCCACCGCCCAGCAATGATCCATGCCCGTCAAAGCTATTAGGATCTTCACAGAGATTGCCATTTACAACGTCCTGTGGTAACTGGCAAGGTATCTGAGGCTCTTTTTCCGCCTGTGAAACGGCCAAGTCGAAAAGGAGCTGCTGACTACCCAAACACTCCCTTTCATCGAGTATCGAAACAGAATGCATAGTCATTCCAAGTCCGTCGTCGGTCGTGGCGTCGGAGTCTTCATCATCTGCGTCTAATGAAAATCCTGGAAATCGTGGGGGTGAGAGATCATTGCGATATGACGAGTCTGTCGCGGCATCCCCACGATGTAGGGGGGAGGAAAGTGACGGAGACTCCTTAGAACGCCGCCGTGAAGACTCAGCAGACGCCTGTGGGGTGGGTACGCTGTGCTGCAGATTTGTAGCGAATGTAACGAGATGGCTAGTGTCGACAAAGTCTGACGAAGCTCCGTGATCAGTCGCGCCAATGCTTACTGGGGTATGCGATTGATCTGACGGCCGATAGAGTCTTTGGGACCGGCATGGTGTAGGTGACGCCGGGGGTACAGGATCCATGATGGACACGTCAGCGAAGGACGCCTCACTCGACGAGGGGGATAAGTCAATGTTGGACACGCTAGACAATGGCGACGAAGAAAATAAGTTCACACTTTCGTTTCTCTTCTGCGTGGTGCTTGAAATTCGCATTCGCCTTCGTTCCAACGGCTCGTCATCAGATGAACTGCTTATACTTTCAGTTGTGTGGATGGTTGCCGAACTGGTACGCCCGTTCGTTCGATCGCGACATAGAGTGACGTGGCCATCGACGTCCTCCCGTGTCGACACCAGCGACCGAGGCAGGAAATGATCTTCGCTATTTCTCATCACATCAACAGTTGGCGAGTGTGAATGGCTACGAGTTTGTCTTTTTCTGGCCTTGCTGTGTAGCAGTTCCACGCCGGTCCTCGTCTGGGTAATAGAGGACGTATCTGGCGGTCTCGTAGTGCTCTCTTCCCGCTTGTTCGCTCCTCGGCTCTCTCCAAGACCACGTGTAGCACCATATGCTGTAGCGCCAGATGTTTCCTCCCATGCTGGCGCACAATACCTCTCCTGCTGTTTGATTGGAGATCGACTCCGATGATACTTCAAAGCACCTTCAAATGTCGCCCGTCTTTGCCGTTTCTCCGTCCGCATACTAGGTGTTTTCTCCGGTTGTACATGCTGAAGATTATTCGTACCGTCGGCTAGGATCCTTAACGTTCTCTTTCGTTTCGCTGTCGTTGCGAAATGCTCCCGCGGAGCCAGCTGTCTATCCGCGCGGTGTTTGGGAGTATCTAATTCCGGGGTTACGGACCTACGCCGTTGCCTTACCATGCCCGTCTTTCCTCCGTGAATACTCGATGCACGTCTATAGCCTTCCTTCCTCAATCTCTTTGCCGCGAAGGGCACTTCGACTCCGGGACGGGAATTATTCTGATCGGTGGCGTTTCGAAGCGACTGCGATTGTTGCAAGAGTATTCTTTTAGCTCTGGCATTATCGTCACCCCTGCCATCCCTGATAGATTTCGCGGTAGTAGCACAGTAAGAAATCGATGGCTTGACGTCGAAGGCATTATCAATGCTATGGGTATCTGTAGATAATTTCATTAATTGGGATACCAAGACATTGTTGTGCAAACATAGACGTACGGTTTTGAGACATGTTAAGGGTGCTTCTTTTGGTCTGTTCGAAAAAGCTCGATAAAACAGCAGGGCTAACAACCTCGTCGTCGGGCTTTTCGGGGGGTAAAATGTCCTGTATAGCATGCAGTTCTCTACGCCGTACGCTCCCAGTCCCTTCCATCACATTCTTCACATCTTTGAAGGTTGAGGGATCTTGGCCCAAGGAATGGTCACCAATGGTCGATGCTCCGGAATTCAGATGTCCTGATTCCTTCCCAAAGAGCCGAGCTTGATATGGTGAGATAGATGATGATCCACCCCGAGCGACCTTCCAGATAATAGGTGACCTGTCGTCGCGAACCCCGGCAGCACTAGCTAGTGTATGGTTGCGCAATCCTTTCGCAATATCCCCCGGTGTTTGTTTCCGCTTATCCACCCCAGGGGACGGCGTTTCCATTGACGGAGACCAGGTTAGGACAGAGTCGCCTCTAGTGGTACTTGGCGTAAATAGAGACTTTATCGAATCGCTTGTGCTTGAGGAGAATGCCAGTAGTCTTGGCTTTATCGGCGTATCCGTGGCGGGCGATGTTTCAGCTCCTTTGGTTATCCTCCACGGATTGTAAGGCGTTCGATACTTGACGGAAGACGAAGTGGGTACATGCGGCGTGTGCGATGGTCGGGGAGTTTGCTCATCCTCATGTTGCTTGGGATTTGAACCATACAGTGCGAGTGGAGAAGGCTTTTCATTCTCGTCATTCGACCCCCGCAGCGGCGTGTTTATCCTGTGTAGGTCCTCAGACTTGTGCGACATTTCACACAAGAAAAATGAACAAACTGCGTGTAGCAAACATCATCCCCTACTTACCTCATTTGTAGATGCAAGTCCAAAGCCCCGCAGAGCCTCTGCGGTGAGTGGAAATGTGTCGCTGCCATCTGACATCCAATCCGTCTCTTCCACCCGACCCTCCGTCATCGCAAAGGCGTATCTGCTTTCCGTCCTTTGCTCCCCTGCCAAAGATGGCCGCGACATGATCTCGGCAGCGACGACAAAAGTCGCAGTGGAAGACGCTGGCTGATCGACGTGCTTCCATTTACCCATATTTGGACAAATGACGTACACGTGACAAAGGCCCCAAACAAAATCTCTTCGCTCCCCCAATCAACGGGGGCCTGCAGTTTGATCAGCGATTTATAAAAACCCAAGGCTTCCTCCCGCTGCGAACGTTACTTGTAGATCGCATCCTTTCCATCTCAACATCTTCAAAATGGTTGCTGAACAGTGGGTGAGTGTGAAATCGGAGTTCGCCCTGTGTCCTACTTTGTCTCATGTTTGGCTGCAGAACGCCGGCCTCAACACGACCCTCGAAGAGGAAGACAAGGAGATCTACGATCTCGTTCAAAGAGAGAAATGGCGTCAGTATTCCTGTTTGGAGCTGATTGCTTCTGAGGTAGGGATCGTTCTTTTTCATTGTCAAAGTTGGCGGGTTGCTCACGTCACGTCACCTTGTTAGAATTTCACATCACAAGCCGTCATGGAGGCCAATGGTTCTGCTTTGACCAACAAATATTCCGAGGGACTCCCTGGTGCCCGTTACTACGGTGGTAACGAATACGTCGACCAGATTGAAAACCTATGCCGTAAACGTGCATTGGAGGCCTTCCATCTGACTCCCGAGCAGTGGGGTGTAAACGTGCAGCCCTACTCTGGTAAGATCGGGCTGGAGGTTATTCTGAAATCGGGCCTGTATTGATTTGGCACCCACTACAGGAAGTACCGCGAACTTCTCCGCTCTTACCGCTCTTCTCGCCCCCCACGATCGTATCATGGGATTGGACCTTCCCTCAGGCGGCCAGTGAGTAACAACCTGAAAACAAACATGTGTGGTTCGAAGGGTATTAATGATATCGACTGCCTAGCTTAACTCACGGCTACGCCACGGCAAAGAAGAAGGTCTCTTCATCTGCGATCTACTTTGAATCACTTCCTTACCAAGTGGACATGGTATGATACGACCTTTTGACTAGGACTTTCTTGCTTTAGAGATAGATCTCATTCGTGCGATTTCTTTTGTAGAAAACCGGTTTCATTGATTACGATAAACTGGAACAGAATGCTGCTCTCTACCGCCCCAAATTGATCATCTGCGGTGCCAGCGCTTACGCTCGTGACTGGGACTATGCACGTCTTCGCAAGGTTTGCATCTTGTGGGAAGCATCATCAATTCGCCCAGCTGCTGATGATTGTTGAGTCAATCTTAGATTGCGGATCAGCACTCAGCTTATCTCATGGCTGATATCGCACATATTAGCGGTCTTGTCGCTGCTCAAGAAGCGAACAACCCCTTCGAGTTCTGCGACGTTGTCACTACCACAACTCACAAAGTATGTTGACGGGATGTGCTGAGGATACTTGAGGCCCTGGTCTAACCGTTGCTCGCAGACCTTGCGCGGTCCCCGTGCTGGTTTGATCTTCTTCAGGAGGGCGCCAAAGGGCGAGAAGAACTCTGACCTTGAGGACAGAGTAAACTTCGCTGTCTTCCCTTCAAATCAAGGAGGACCTCACAACAACACCATCGCTGCCATCGCTGTCGCCTTGAAGCAGGCCGCTGGTCCCGAATTCAAGCAATACGCGCGGCAAGTCAAGGCGAATGCTATCGCCCTTGCCGAAGCATTGAAGAGCAAAGGTTACAAGATTGTGACTGATGGTACCGAGAACCACCTTGTCCTGTGGGATTTGCGGCCAAACGCTCTTACTGGCAGCAAGATGGAGAAGATCTGCGATTACGTGAAGTAAGTTCTGTAAAACTAATGGCATGCGGCTGACAGCATAGCTGATATTTCTGATTAATAGCATTACTTTGAACAAGAATGCTGTACATGGTGATTCGTCTGCTCTTGTACCCGGCGGTGTCCGTCTTGGTGTGTACTTCCACTAATGTCAATTATCAATTCATGTTACTGACTCTGAGATATAGGTACCCCAGCATTGACATCCCGGGGTTTCAAGGAGGCCGACTTTGAGAAGGTCGCGGACTTCCTTGACCGGGCTGCAAAGATCGCCATCAACGTCCAAAAGACTACTGGCAAACTCATTAAGGACTTTGTTGTAGCCTTGGAGTCCAACGAAGACGTCAAGGTACTGTGTCTAATACGTTACTTTGTTGGGTTACTTGTTGCTGACAAGGTCCACTTAGGCTCTTCGTGGGGAGGTGGAAGCCTTTGCCCGTTCATTCGCCATGCCTGGTTTTGACCCGGCTAGTGTCCCAGAGTCCTGCAGGGACCACTAATTCCTTGCAGCCATGGCAGCATTCCGATGTAACATATCTATTTTCTGAATTCATCTCCAATATAATTACATTGTATAGTTTTAAATCTTTTACCATTTGGTGAGAATGTGACTGACCGAACAGGGGTTAGTTGCAGCGGGCAAAGTTACATTTGATAAATCTTACATTCTTGTCCTCAAATGCATATAACACACCATTGGCGCATTGTTCCTTTTTCCAATGTCAATCTTTTGAAGCACGCAGCAGTTCAGTATAGTCGGTGTAGTTGCATGCAAGCTGACTATCCTGGTCTCCCTGGAGGCCATCGCTCACAATATCTATGTACCAGGAATTATTATGCTCGAATGTAACCATTCTTGCGGTCCTGGTCAGATATAGGTAACTTTGATGATCTTTCCATGGAACGCTGAGATCCTAGTGACGTTCGGACATTTTACAGGTGTCTCATTTCCAGGATCACCTAACCTTAGGGATATCCAGAGTGTCATCCTAGATCAATCAATGCCTATTGTAGAATATTGACCACGTTCCGAAAGTAGAATCCTAGAATGCTCCCTTGCTGTTGACATCTGACAACGGACGAGATTCTGTATCAGCTTTAGTTGAATGAAGGATCTTGTGTCGAGTTAGGCAGTGTCTTGAGTGATGGAAACAGAAGTCGTAGCCCAAGCTATCGTTGAGGCACCAGTGCTTCATGCAGACTTCGGGAGACAATCACCAATGGTCATTGGCGATGATGGGGAACAACAGGTTGCAACAGATAATGTACCAGCATCTGGAGGCGAGGTGAACATTACAAGCCACTCGATGGCTCCGGAAGCACCGGTAGTGAAGAAGGGAGAATCCAAAGAGGAATCTGATCCACAGGGGCAGGGCGGAGACGAAACCGTTCAAACCAAGCTCGATGCATCGAACAACAGAGGGCCGGAGGGAAACTTCAAGACACAACGTAGAACACCCAAGGCCAAAAACTCAAAACTCAAACCCGCTGTGGGACTGAAATCCGAGTCACATAGTAAGACCATCTCACCATCAAAGGCTGCTGACGGGCCAAGCAACACTGAGGAAGATGCGAATATGGATAAAACAATTGGCCACTATGAGGCCGAACTCCGAAGTTTGGAAGAGAAGGAGGCGAATGAGGCAAAACGGACCAAAGCGAAGCATTCTGACACATTTGCATACCGTCATTTTCATATGGTTCACCCAACATGTAACAAACTATTAGGGAGGAGATGGGATATGGCAAAGAGAAAGATCCATCTACAACGATTAGCGAAAGCCAAATCAAGTATTGATACATCGCCCCCAAAAGAGTATCCGCACTTGCAGCACAAGCTGAAAAAGTTACAGATGCAAGAAGGTGAGAGTGTGCTTAACCCTTTTGATGATCATGCGCACGTAGCGGCTGACGATGCGTCCGTTTTAGAGCGACGAGCGCAGATTGAACATGACAACAAGATATTGGTTGACAAAATGTCGTCAATTATGAAGCTGGAGAAAAAGGTTTTTGGACAGCATCCCAGCCCTCTAAGATTTGCACATAGTCTGAATGCAAACAGGCGACAACGGGAAGTCAAGAAAGTTAATCAAGATAATATGGTACAGTACCCTTTGGCAACATCGCGCTTTTGATCAGTCCGCGACTTACTACTGCGAATTCAACCGATAGGCCATTCTTGAGCGTCTGGAAGGCCGCGAATCATTCTATAAACATGAAGATCAAGTGAAGAGCCGTCACCAAACCATAGGTTATCTCTGCAACATTGCAGCGTACCCTGACCGGTTTATTCGTCTTGAGGAACAGTATGATCGTTGCGCAAAGGATTCTGTGACGGAGCGTCATGAGGCGCCAGTTGCAACGGAGCGTATTCAGCAGCTTGAAAAGGACTGGACAAGCGGACCAAGCCCAACGAGCGGCCGAAGCTCTGTCAATAACCACCATGTGCGATTTCGAAAGGGACCGGAAGGCGCCGGCAAGCACCATAGGAAAAAGCGAGCGCAGACCCCCAAAATTGGTATCGCAGCAGTGGACGCAAAGCTACTTGGAAAAGAAGCCCAGTTTGGAGGACCTCCACCTCTTCCTGGCATTCCTGTTGCCTCCAGCAGTGAAGTACCAATGAGAGAATCATCAGCACTGGCTCCCCTGGATGTAGGAGAAAAAGCCACGAACTTGGAAGACAGTGTGGCTCTGTCAGTAGAATAGACGACTCCCGACATTTCACAAATTTTCTATTTGAATTGGCATGAATAATATACCCATACATATGAAGGACTTTGCTTTTCTCTCCGCTATTGGCACCCCAGGAGTGAGATTGTTTGGCCAGAAAGACTTATGCAGATGCTCGTTTCTTTGTTTCTTTCTTGTCAAGACATTCTTCTTTTCAGGAAGTTCTGGTGCTTGTTGGCTGCAGCTGCGGATTACCTTTCAAATTCCGCTCACACCAAATGCGCGTGAATGGTTCAGTGACTGTCCATGGTCTGAATCACATGACTGACTAGATTTGGGCGTTCGTTCGACCTCACGGGCTGGGTCCCGAAATTCAACTTGTCTCGTCCTTTGGCCTGCTGATGAAAAGATGGAACCAGGCCTGCTGATTGCGTATCTTGCCTTGGGCACAATGGCCGTTGCGCCAATATATTTTGGCTCCTTCTCGGCCTTGAAGATTCCGAAAAAGGTTGGCAGTAAAATGTGATGCTCCACCGCGTTTTGGGCCTCAACTCTGTTAACTCTAGAGGGACTCCACCCGAGGCAAGAAAGGACGAAATGAGGAAGAAGAGGAGGATATTGAGGAAGAAGAAGCAGAGTTCTTTCGATTGGAGGATGCCTATTGGTTCCCTGTCTTTGGATCTCTGGCCCTTGTGTCGCTCTACGTGGTCTTCAAGTACTTGAACAAAGAGTACCTCAACGCCCTCTTTACCGCCTATTTCTCGATTCTGGGAGTTGGCGGCGTCATTAAGAGCTTCCTCGGAATTAGCAGAGCTGTGACAGGTTGGAAGATCAAAGGAGAATACCGAGTGGATCTGTGGAAAAAAGAAAAAGGTTCGTTGGTGCTCCCCAAAGATGCCGACGCACGATGTAGTCAGGTTTGGGAACTTAATGCAATACGCTATTATCTTAGAAATTGCTTCGTACCATTTCGGGAACTACCATCTCTTCCTCATCGTACTGTCCATCATCATTGCGGGTCTGTACGCCATGACGAAGCACTGGATTCTCAACAACATCTACGGAGAAGCGTTCTCCGCATCTGCGATTCAACTTCTTAATCTGGATTCGTTTAAAACCGGAATGGCGCTCCTGTCCTTCCTCTTCCTGTACGACATATTTTGGGTTTTCGGCACGGACGTCATGGTCACAGTTGCGAAGGGCTTTGATGCGCCTGTCAAAGTTCTGTGGCCCAAAGATATTGTTGGACTTATCAAGTCCGGATTTTTCACGACAGAAGGTGTCCCCTTCACGCTACTTGGCTTGGGCGATATTGTGATTCCCGGTGAGTTTAAACTATCTACATATGCATATATCAGAGTGCTTGAACTGAAGCTGTGCGTACGGTAGGTATCTTTGTGGCCCTGTGTCTCCAGTTTGACCATCATCAGTATCTGAATTCCAAGGAAGGGAAAAAAAATAAGTACACGCTGTCCTTCCCCAAACCATACTTCACGGTCTGCTTTATTGCCTATGCTCTGGGACTCGTTACCACAGTGGTCGTAATGCATACGTTCCAGGCAGCACAGGTAATGTCTTACGTGCATCCAACCGTGCCCGTCCTTTCATCTGCTCATTCCACTTGTTTTGGCAGCCTGCCCTTCTATACCTATCACCTGCATGCATATTGTCAGTCCTGCTAACAGGCCTAGTTCGAGGCGAGCTTAAGCAAGTCTTTGCCTTTGCCCCTGCAGAGAAGGAGAGCCCCAAAAAGACTTTGGAGCATATTGCAGACGATCTTAAAATCGAGAACACCGCCGCGTCTGAAGACGATCTCGGAACGCACGGCAGTGAGGGAGCTACAAGTGAACAGGAGGGTTCACGGAGTCGAAAGGGCAAGAAAAAGACGGGAACCGGTGGCAAACGGAAGGCCGTCAAGAAGCAATAAGGTTTCATGTGATCAGGCGCCAATAGATTGGATGCACTTTTTTAAACTACTCGTCGGGTCTAAATACTTGTACTATGAAAGGTGATGAACACAAGAATTATGACATACTAATAGGCCTGCTTGTCAGTCAATTGCAAAGATGTACTTATCGATGCCCCACCTCAGCGCTATCCCTCAAAAAAGGTGGTAAAGTGGGTTTTAATGGCATTAAAAAAGCCCGCAACCTTTTGTCGCAGTATTTCTAACAGAATAGGTGGGGACAAGGATGTCACTGTGACCCAGACCTTGCCTTAAATGCACATTCTAACAGCCTACCTTGAGTATCCTCAGTCTCCTTCAGCTCATCGATCAATTCCACTACCTCGTCGTGAAAGCTTCTTTCCCTAGCATTGAGAAGATGCGTGACTAGCGCATTATACTCATCAAAAAGCTCAGAGAGTTCCGTGATGTGCCCTACAACCGCGCAAAAAGCTTTGAAGCCGTCATTTACAATCCAACTGGTGTCATAAATTACCGGCCAATTCCTTCCATACAATGTCTCGATTGTCGACAATCCGTCCATCAAGCGTCTCCTGAGATAGGCATTTGAATGGTTGCTCAATATCGATTGCTTCTACATCCGAATGGGTTTCCAGTTTTCTTGAAGGGAACAAACTTCTGGCAGTGCCATTAAAGTTGGGAGATATCGAATCATTCAAAGATATTTCCTCGATGTGGTCGCCCATTTCGTGAACATTGTTATCCGGCTGGTATTGTTGCTCCACCTGCTCTCCTATCCTTGGCTCCTGTAATGCTTGCTTAGACATGTCGACACTACCCATATCATTCTCTCTCGTTTCAAAAGAGCAGCCTTCAATATCGGGTTGTGGAGAGCCGCTATAATTCTGCTCGTCAGTTGGAGAACAGTCGTCCATGAGAAATTGCCAAGCGACTTGGTCGCGAGTTCGTCACGTCGCTCTGACCTTGTTCTCAAAGCTGACGCGTGGTACACGTGATTTGAGCGACGTGTGTCGAATGGGCTTCTTGTAAAGTCAGCAGTGAGATCAGATCGCTTTCGTAAAATGATGGGCGATTCGGCGATGCAAACGGAGGGGGCCAAGGGGGCACACCTCAGCCCCGAGTCACAGCAAGCTTATGAAGACATTCTTCAAGTAAGTTGGAAGCATGGCAGGCTGCTGGGGTTCGTCTTGTCAGTTGCAAACCCCAATAACAAAGCCCATGAGGTCCTCATAACCATTCGTACTTCAGGCTCTCCAACGTGATATCAATGTTCTCTCGGACCCAACGTCTGACCGACTTGCCAAGCGACGAGCGCTGGACCATATTCAAAGAGAAACACTCGGAAAGCAGGCGTATTCTGCAGACCGAACGTTGATGCGTCAGACATTTACCAGTCTGTGCAAGCCCTTGGTCAAATGCTTATCAGACACTGTAGAGAAATGTCGAGAATTGAGTAGCGGCCTTATTCTCAGGTGAGAGCTGCTGGGAAAAGATGGGACATATAAGAAGACTAGCGTCGGATCGGAAGAACCGGTGATTCGCAGAGGCCGCCGATCCCGCGACTCTGTTTCTATTCATGCATGAACGACTTACTGAGATTTGGTCACGCCATTACAGATTCTCAGAGTCCGTGGATGATATCACGCCCTTTCTAGCCTACATCGTTCCAGCCATAAGTGCGCGATTGAGCCAGATTGAAATAGTGGAGCCATCGGAAGAGATACGGCTGTTGCTTGTACAAATTTTAGTACGTCTGGTCAACCTTACCGGTGCAGGATTTATTCCTTTCGTCGAAGACGCAGTTAAAGTGCTGCAAAGAACATTGCAAGATCCTTTCCCAGACGTTAAAAAGGTGTGTTGATGAAGAGAAAGTTACTTTGTGACATGTTTTGTGAAGTAACTGAAATTCATAGCGCGTCCTTTGCAGGAATCATGTAACTTGGTCATACAGCTGTCACGGCAAACAAAAAAAGCCTTAGGGTATCATGGGGCATCAATCGCGAAAGCTGTTGTGCCATGTCTTCAACACCGACATTCCAGTGTGCGAACTTCCGGCTTGCAGGTGAGGAGATCACTTGGACGGCAGTCTTACGCATATATATGAAAAAAATCCTAACGAATTTGGCCATGGAAAAGGCCATCCGTGAAGCAATTATGGTCGACGTTTCGGGCTTAGATGATGTACTAGAGACTTTGCGACAAATTACGTTAGATAAATCGCAATCGGTGCGAGAATCTATATACGTCACGGCTGCAGAGTGGATGTTAAATCTTCCGGACCGGTGGTCGGTCGGCTACAAAATCTTGCCCTTGCTACTGGCTGGAATGACGGACGAGCTTCCAAAGTTGGCGGAGCTTTGTCGACATTACATGGACGACATTGGAAAGCTGTATGAAACGGACTGGGAAGATAGGGTTAAGGATGAGTTAGATTACATGCAGCTGGATTCTGGTAAGTTGCGGTGAGATGTTTAATGACAGGCTCTCACCTTCTAAAGAATTATTTATTTGATCGATTCAGATAGACCTCGCGTTGGTTGTCGCCACGTAATTCGCGACAACACGCAAAAGATTGTAGAGAAAACACTTGAAGGATTGGCGGACTGGAATGCGGATGTACGAGCAAAGTCCGCTCAGGTGCTGGCCACTTTCATCACATATGCAGAGGACATGATAACTGGATATGCTGGAATTATATTACCTGCACTATACAGAGTATTAGCTGCCGATGAAGCAACTGTCTGCAAGCAGGTGGGGTGGGACTTGCTTGCATGCCTGTTCGTAGTACGAGTTTTTACTGATCGTGTGTAATGAATAATAGGTTACTGGGGTGGCTGAACTTCTCGGACGTTATGTGGATACAGATGTGTACCTGGATATAATTCTGCCTGCAATCCGCACTGGGGGAGGAGGGTCAACTCAATTTCGCTTGGGGTGTCTCCGGACGTTGGCTGGTTTAGTGCGAGGTACACCAATGTCTCGATTCAGTAAGGCACGATTGGAACGAGTAAGCGATCTAGTCAGTGAAAAAGAGTTGGCACAGAATGAGAATACGGAATTGCTGGCCGAGGTTGCGGGTGTTGTGGTAGAGTTAGTGAAAAAGGTGTCACCGGTACATGTTGAGACGTCAGAAGCCGCGTCTCTCAGATCAGAAACCGTTGGTCTGCCAAATGACGAGGAAATCGGCAGAGCAGGTTATGTAATTTTCTTGGTGCTGGCGCGCCTGAGCGGTGTTTCTGAAGATGACAAAGTTCCGGGCGTTCAGGTTCTACGCCAAAAGGTGAACAGCGGCTATTAGCTTGCATCAGCCGCACAATGACTGACTCTGCTCACCACGCGTTTATTGTAGACTGAAGAAGCTCTTAGAATCTTGGCGACCGCATATGGTTTATTCAGTGTTCAGGATCTGTATGCGCTACACTTGGACGCAGTACTTGCATATCTAGCTGCTGAACAGCCACAATGGACTCGCTATTCCCCAGAACCCCGCCTGCTCGACACCATACTTACTCAAGCTGGGCCTTTGGTCGGACAAAGGCTTGAGGTTACGGTACCTTTACTTGCAGGAATGGCAGGCATTGAGAGGGATATCGAAGTGCGGGAAAGGTGCATTAATTGGCCATCATGTGACATTTTAGCGTACTTGTTCTTATAGCTAACTTATTTTGATCGTTTCGCAGCATGTTCAAAATTACCCTAAGTCTTCTCCAATCATCGTCAACATCTTTGAACTCGACCGGCCAATTTTCCGAATACTCGCGTACCATTCTCTCCGACATCATTATTGCCAATGGCGTCTGGAAGCCTGGACGCAAAGCTGCCGTGTTGCGTGGCAAAGCAATCGAAACTTTCCTGGCTCTGTTAAACGGGAATAATGGAGAAGAATGCCTCGGACTCTTGAGACGGGATGCAGTAATGTCTGTCTGGGAACCGGACCTAATGAATGTACTTGTGGGAACATTGGAGGATGATGATGCAGACACTCGAAATCACACTCTAATGGTTTTAAGCCATCTTCTGAGAAGCAGGCTGGAATTTACAGGTACATTCATGGGCTGGCTTTATCTAACCGTATGGCTCACAGTGGCTCATGGCGTCCACTTGTTTCTTGACTTCACAGCAAATACTTTCAAAAAGTTATACCAAGAACTACTCAAACGCATGGACGATGCGCACGACTCATTACGCGTTGCGACCGCGCGAGTTTGGAGTGATTTTTTTGAAGCAGTAACAAGATGGCAGCAGCGCATGTCTCCACTGATTCAAGCTGCAGGAGGCATGACCGCTGTAATGGTGGATGCGGCGGGAAATGTAGCGCAAACTGGTGAATTGGTAGAGGTGAAGTTGGATGACGTTCATTGGGCTGCAATCGTCAAGGGGTTGACAGTACACATGGATGACCCAAATGCCCAACTGCAGGTATGTGGACTTGATCAAAAGGGAGATTCCAGTAGCAGGGTGCCAATTTACATGCTGTTCACAGGAATGCGTATTCAATGCCCTCAAAGCATCTTTAAAAGTTGCACCTGCCAATGTGATGCGAGACCATTGGACAGGCGTACGACTGCGACATAGAACACCAACATACATTGATGAATTGTTAACACTGATTCCCCAATGAATGAAAGCGGAAATCGCTCAATTAGTTTATTATTAAAATTAATTCACCGTAGTCGCAGCCCGCTCTCTCGCTTGTTCATTTGAATTAAAAAGGATATCTTTGTGCATATCTCCGCTGAATGACCCGAATTGTTCATGTCAGAAAATGTGTTGTGCAGCAAGGTCTTTAACTTCTCTTTGCATACCTGCTTCGACCTGTGAGGCAGCTTCTAAATCGTACGTACGGGTGTCATGGCCTTTCGATCCATGCACCAGAAGTCGGAAGCTCGACGTCTTCTTCGTCGCCTTGCAAGATATGACTGTGCTAATGTGATGTGATGACTGTGAAAGACAAGGATAAGCAGCTGGCCAAGTTTAGTTGTGAGGTAATCCAAAATGGGTTCTTACTGTCTTCATTGTATCGAAGAAATTCTTATTTTCGGCAGCCATTATGTGAATGTAGTCTCCGTCAATCGTCAGCAAGCGATCATGTCGCCCCATAAACGCCTTATGTGATACCGTGTATTGCTACAGAAGAAACAGGGCCATTGTTCATCTCCACCATCATCTGGAATTCCGACGCTGAAGAGTTTGCCTTACCTTATACATCGAAGAGTACTCCTCTGGTTCAATGAAGCGCGGCTGATCTGCAATCTCCGTCTTCTCATCTGGTGGTCGCAGAAACACATCTCCCGCTAAAATTACACGTATCAGCGCGTCAGTTGGAACTTGTCACTCAGTCATCAACTTCCATGATGGATACGCACCACCTCCCCCAGCCCGCTTCAGTATGCAAAGCTCAGACACTCGCAACTGTTCCAGAGTCTTATCCAGTGGCACATCCGTTTTTGTGTCAGCCATCTTAAATACATATTTGCTGGGATCATATTTTCGCTTGCGGCAAATTTGTTCGAAGACATCGGCTAGTGGGATGTTTGACGCGACAGGCATGGTCGTTGTTTGCTTGACCTCAATGGTGGAGTAAAGGTGTACTTTAAGGAAGACGGTTGTGGTGGGAAGGGCAGATGTCGGCGTTCCAGCAGAAGAACTTGATCCAATATTAGAGACAGGCTGTTTGCGGTTGCCTTCGTTAAGTTTGACTGTAGAGACTCTGTTAGTGTCACGAAAATGAGGCTTCAGTGCACAATACCACACCAACCTTGATCTGGCGATGCTTCGCAAAGCGCAAACTGATCAAAGGCAAACTTTGATATTTTGCGGGTCCGCTCCAGCGCTAAGGGTCATCCATGTTATATGAGGTGCCGACTATCGGTAAGACCATTATCATGCCATGCACCCACCTGGAAAGTCATCATCAATGCTTCCATCGTCTTCCACGATCCGCATATTCCACATTATCACATTTCGCAGATGCTCGGGAATCATTGGTTGTCGGCCTTCGCCCCAGTACTCGCAAAGTGTATATCCCATCACCTCTTCCACGCTAGCATCACGCAAAACGCATATATCGAGTGGGACGTCAGGCTCATCACTTATTGGCATGTATATTTTCAACCGTATCGAATTAGGATCGCCTTTTCCGGACTTTTTGATGCAAACACATGACATTACATTAGTATCAATGAAGAATACTAAGCCTTCCCTCGGATACGTACAAAGAAAGCATAGTCCTTGCTGAACGGATTATCAGATCGACTCTGTAGCTGTAACATCGCCGTCAATGATGACAAGGGTTTGGATGGGAGCTCGCGGTATGACGTTCTATTGAGCGGTCCACTTTGCACAAACGTAGATGGCTTACTCTGAGGCAAATCTCGCTTTCTAAAGAGGTCTTCTCGGGGCAGAGATGGCGTCCGAGCACTCTTGACGCTTTCCGATAATGTCCGCTTTGTTAGAAGACTCTGATCTGGGGGAACGCTCAGTTTACTGGGAAGTGGAGATCCTGCTCTCTCTTCAGAAGCCCCAGCCGCATCAATAATCTCATGTATGACGCCCTCTTCGTTGGCCTCATCGGCAGGTTCAGTTGATACGACCACTGGCGTGTCCACATTAGCGGATCGCACTTCCGACTCCGACAATAGTGTAGTGCTCGGTTCGAGTTCATCAGATTCTTCCTCAAGATGCATTGAAGCCCCAGAGGAGTGTGACCCCTGACTACCCACAGAACAGAAGAGAAGCGAAGATAGCTGCCATAAGATAAACGTCCCTTGCATTGCGTTAAAAAGTTGTGCAATCACCTGTGCTGAAGAGCTAACTCGCCTGACTCGGCACGACGAAGCGCCTCACGCATTGACGCCTGCAGACTGTTTTGTTCACTCCCGGTATTGCTGGCATCAGCTGGGCCCTCACCATCTGCTTCGGCGATAGCTCCTGATTGGGGCGCACTGCCTTCTTCCGATGGTGTTGCGTCCTCACCTCCACCCACATCCTCCATCTGCCCATCTCCTTGCAAATCATCTGGTGGAGCAGCTTTCAGATCTAGTTGTAAATTTTGCTGTGCTTGCTGCAGGCGTAGCTTCAGTGCCTCTATAGTCGCCATACGGCGCTCATGATTCGCATCGTCTAATCGGCTTTCTGTCGGTTCTCGTCTATCTGGAAGGACCGATGCCGGTACCGTTGCCTGAGTGTCAGTGTCACTCGTGATCTGGACTGCCACATTCGGTTTACTCGTGGATAGTACTTCCTTTGAATGTGCATTATTCTGGTCTGAGACCACACCAGTGCTTGCACCAGATTCAGCAGGTTGACCAGAGGTACCACCGGTAGGCTGCCCGCGCCGTGAGGAGATACTTCTTTTTTCCTTGTCATCCGCAATGTTTTGACGGCTGTGCGCAACAAAACTGACCTGACTGCGATATGGTGATCGCAGCCGACCCGGTGCCGGAAACCCCAACGACTGCGAATCGGGAGCGCCATCCAGTCCTGTATGTGACGTTGCAGAAATGATGTATTCACTATCAAGTGTATTTGGTAGCGTGATGATACGCTCCGCCAGGGTATCTTTAGCCTTTAACATGGATAAGCGCATCTGGTAGATCTATGGGAAAGGAGACATTGAAAATTCAGTCAACGCGCCAACGATGAATATTGTAAACTAAGATAGCTACATGCGTTAAATAGGGGCAGACATACCAGATAGTCCGCGTCCGTTATTAGCGACATTTGGACGATGATATACACGGGTAACTGTAGAATGGAGGATAATGTTGAAAACGATAACGGTATTGGCGAGACCAAACGGTCTGCATTCCGCCCGCTTGATTACGCTCGGCTGGTGGCACAGTGATGGCACAGCATAACACTAGCGAGATAAACAAATGCTCCACATGGGATGGACTAGAACACTTGACGAAATATACGCTCTCAATATATGATTCAAATGATTTGTCAAGCGCAGACAAGCAGGATGTACTATTTCAGCTATATTTGCATCAGATCTCACAACGGCGGCTGCAAACAGACTCTTTGTACTATTGTGGTCTTTGTTATTGAGACGCCCTCGGGAATGTTAACGGCGCGGATCCTGCTCGCTGGGTCATCAATAACCCTACATGGGGAACGATATTCCAATGCAGCGACAGATTTGTTCGAATGCCCCTAAACACAAAGCTCTTTAGTCCTTACGGTGACGTGAAGATACTACCGTTGCTCAAACACTTACGCTAGCTTGTGACTCATGTCCGATGCGACATATTCTGCCTTTTTATTCCGAAGCGTCACGATAGCATCTTCCTTGCTCGTAATTATATCATCCCATATAACGATCTGATTCACATTCTGGAAGAGTATCGTCAGGAAGTGCACCACACGTCGCCAGCATTCATAATACCCTTACGTGCGATGGGGTTTCGTACTCGGCGACCACGTATAAAAAGAGCTGCTTGGTGTTCCAGTTCCACAAGGTCGTAAGGTCTATTATATGTCGAAGGCATTTATTACGTGGAAGGATAGTGGATGACCATTTAGCCCTTAAGCACGTACCTGCATCAAGGTTGAATTGAATTAAGCCGAGCTCTGTCGCTGGTGAGCTGTAGTCATAGTAGTAGCCAAGTCTGCCCATTTTTCTATATAAAAACGAATCAGACATTTCACCGCGACTGCGTTAGCCGAAAGAAAGCAACAGACACAGAGACGGCTTCCACTGATAGATCGACAGCGTTCGCGTCCTTTGGAACCCTCCATAGCAGTAGCGGTCCCGATATTGCAACGGCCCCAAGAACAGAGAAAAGCACTGTCACAAAGAAAGCAAATAGGGTGTTGGCCCGCTGGCTAAGAGTGTGCATGACAAGGAAATAATTAGAGCGATCGACGAAATCTTTGGAGAAGCTTGTGCCCATCAACTTGGGTGAGCCATGTTGCTGAGCCACATCCAATTACCAAATCTCTCACGTGCAAGGAATCTCGTAAGCAGCGGGCTTTGCACAAACGTCGTTTTGTTTAGCGGCCTAGTTTGACGTTGCGTCCATGTCCACCACAGAGTGGAGAGCGGTGTCTTATGGTATCGCTGTGTTGTTTGGCTTTCTGCTTGCCATCCTATTCATTGACTCCGAACACCTTCCGGACGTCGTGCTGCTATTAGAGAGTATTTCTGTTTGGACCCTGAGGTTCCACCCAAATCCAATGTGATACGTAATGCGTCAGCCAACTTTTAAAGACCTGCATAGGCTTGAACAAGCTCTTCCTGTTCGACGTCCTAAGTTTTGCTGTCCACCATGACGAAAAACAGAACGAAAGAAAGCGTCCGGCAAACAAATAACCGGCATTCGTCCTTTCATGGATACCAGCTCGCAGTAATCGCTCAAGTGATCTTGGCGGCAATCTTCTCGTACACATTCATATTACAAACCGACCACCACTTCAGTGCTCCGTCACCGACCTGTGGGCAATGGCCGCTGCTGCATGCTTTTCGGCTTCTACCACTGTCAGCCATACCTTTACTATTAGGAGTTTTTTTGGTCGGTATTTTACGATTCTTAACACCTGCCATCGACCCGACAGTTAGCCCCATTGGCAGAAATCACACGATGGATGTGTTCCAACGTTACCTGCAGAACACCGTCGAGCAGTTTATGCTTCACTTTGGCGCAGTAACTGGATTAGCTGCGTGGGACGATTGCAAGCATGTTCTACCTCTTGTGATGCTGTTTGTCATTGCACGGGTAATCTTTCTATTGGGTTATTTGGCGACTAGTGACGGAAGGTACCGGGGAGTTGGATTTGCGATGACGGTATGGCCTACCGTTTGGGCATTGGGCCGGTGCTTATTGTACATTTTGAAGTTTGCTTGGCGTCGAGATTAATGGCACAACTCTCATGCAACCGTCCAGTGTTGTCTTTAGAGAATAGCAGGCAAATCCCAATCTTTTATTTACCTTTCGCTGCCTTAAGTGAGTGATGTGTATTTGTAGGCATCATAACATCCACAGATCAAGTGAACGGAAATTCCTCATGCTGAAATGTAGCACATAAAACGATACAGCACACTCTTTGCAAAATACTTCCCAAAAACTTCATGTTATGTACAACAATTCACAATTCACAATTACAGATAACTACAATATCTCCTCATCAACATCAATGCCCCTCCTTGAATCAAGTATATAAATCCGACTTCGGCAACAGACAGCGTCCAGGCCTTACTACTCCTTCTTGGTACTGTACTTTCCGTGCTCTTTCCAGTCTTCCCGGTCGTCCTTCTTTCAATAGCGACGGTGCTTCTTGTCATCATCGTAGTCGTCGTACCCGCCACGGTGCTTCTTGTGATCATCGGAATCGTCCTTGCCCCCGCCACGGTGCTTCTTGTGATCATCGGAGTCGTCCTTGCCCCCGCGACGGTACTTCTTGTGATCGTCGTAGTCGTCGTCCTTATCGTACCCGCCACGGTGCTTCTTGTGATCATCGGAGTCGTCCTTGCCCCCGCCACGGTGCTTCTTGCCACCATCGTAGTCGTCGTCCTTGTCCCCGCCACGGTGCTTCTTGCCACCATCGTAGTCGTCGTCCTTGTCCCCGCCACGGTGCTTCTTGTGATCATCGGAGTCGTCCTTGCCCCCGCGACGGTACTTCTTGTGATCGTCGTAGTCGTCGTCCTTATCGTACCCGCCACGGTGCTTCTTGTGATCATCGGAGTCGTCCTTGCCCCCGCCACGGTGCTTCTTGCCACCATCGTAGTCGTCGTCCTTGTCCCCGCGACGGTGCTTCTTGTGATCATCGTAGTCGTCGTCCTTGTCCCCGCGATGGTGCTTCTTGTGATCATCGTAGTCGTCGTCCTTGTCCCCGCGATGGTGCTTCTTGTGATCATCGTAGTCGTCGTCCTTGTCCCCGCGATGGTGCTTCTTGTGATCATCGTAGTCGTCGTCCTTGTCCCCGCGACGGTGCTTCTTGTGATCATCGTAGTCGTCGTCCTTGTCCCCGCGACGGTGCTTCTTGTGATCATCGTAGTCGTCATCCTTGTCGTCCTTATGATCTTTCTTGTCATCACCGTGGTCGTCCTTCTTGTGGCCTTTCGTGTCACCCCCGTAGTCATCCTTGTTGTCATCCCCGTAGTCGTCCTTCTTATCGTCCCGATGGCCTTTCTTGTCATCCCCGTAGTCGTCCTTCTTGTCATCATATTTGCTCACGTGCTTCTTGTCATCACCGTAGTCATCCTTCTTGTGCCCCTTCCCTTTGTGATTATTTTTTTTGTGATCACCGTGGTCGTCGTCGTAGCCGTCGTCGTGGTCTTTCTTACGGTCTTCGTGGTGGCCTTTCTTGTGATCATCATATTTGTCGTCCCCCTTGTCGTCATAACCGTAGTGATCGTAACCCCTTACAGCAAATCTGGCATTCGTTGAACTCGCCGCCTACGTTATCAACAAACAAGGAGGAAAGTATACCATCAGTGCAAGTTCACAATCTCTAAGCTGAATCTGCACTATAGGCACATAGACTTACCAAAGCATTACCCCGTAAGGTTGGGGCGGCAAAGCTGGAAGCGAAGAACGGGGCAATGGCCACGGCCAGAAGGTAGCAAGTCTTCATCTTGACCGTCCTCGTGGATACAGACAGGAGTGTGGAAGTGGGCTGTGAAAGATTGCAAGTTGGATGCGGTAGGGAACTGGATTGCTAGAGAAGGCTGGTGCGAAGGCAAGTTGCTGCTGTTGGGCGAGGGATACAGGCAGGCGGTGCCCTTTTATAAACTTCTGGTGATCCAAAGAGGAGTGATGCGTGGACGACAAAAAGAAGACGAGGCTGTGGGAACTGACACTATTTTCTCAACCAACTTGCATCACTTCCTATGCTGCAAAAGACGAGGCTGTGGGAACTGACACTATTTTCTCAACCAACTTGCATCACTTCCTATGCTGCAAGGTAATGGCTTGCTTGAGCAGAGCAAACAGCCTGTGCGTGCTTCTGCTGTGTTCGAGCGTGCACGATGCCGGATTTGACATTTCTGAGGCTTGATGGAACCGTGACCAGCCCATGGTTGCGTTCGAACATGGATGCTCGAATATGTTGCATCATTTTTCCGGCCAAGTACTCCAAGGTATTGGCTTTTCGGACTGTCGAGAGAAAGACCGGTGCATGCGTCGTAACGGAGGAAGCAACAAAGTGCTCATATCCAATGACTCCTGACGTCTGTTGTCGAGAAACTGTCGGGCGGAGTAATCGACCAGCCCAAAGGATGAGCTAGTAAGGCGGAGCAGGCTCTCATCAAGCCCCCCACTGGCTTGCACTCTTGGCGTGACATACTACGCGAGAAGCCCTTTTTGGCCTTCGTTTGCAAGGTAATGATGCATCAGGCTGGCAATGCTTTCCGATAAGAATGCTCTCGGAATAAACTGTCGTATAGTTCATCACACTCTGTCGTGGAACCTTGCACACACTGCGAATGAAATGGTGTCATCGGCCCGATGGGTTGAAGTGGGGGTTGCAAATCCGTCACATATGGACATCCACCTCCGGGTTCACTCTTAAGGGACAAACCTGAGCATCAGTGAAAGGGGCTTCATGCTGTCTGTACTTGTCCAAAGTACACTATGTGCTGCAATTTTCTTACGCAATTCATCCCTTCGCTCTGTGCCCTGATTGATGGAGCATCATCTTGCTTGCAAAATATCTCCATTTTGTCAAAAGTGGAATGAAGAAGGTTGAACTTTGTTGCCATCCGATTGGGTATTATTCAGCAAGCAGTCGACTGGCTGGACGAGCCATCAAAAGTCAAACTATCATCATGTATGCTGCAATGAACCAAATAAGCATATAGAGAATGACATTAAAGGTCGAACAGCGCTTGTCCCGTATCAGGTATGTTTTACGCTGTCAAATGGTTCTGCAGATCTTGAAAGGAGGTTGGACGGGTATGCTCCCCGACAAAGTCGCCTGACACCGTTCATGGCGGAGGATTTGTTTGCCGAGACATGGCCAAACACCCACTTGACCGCAGTAGCTAAAAATAGCTGAAACTTGCATCGTCGTTGCCCTCAACATTTTGGGGGGATGGTAAAGAAAGTTGCGTCACCAAGCGCCGCGTTCGTTTAGCGTAAACAAATACGCCGCGATAACCTACTTGGCCTTTCTTGCTCTGCTCCCAAAAGTGAAAGGGGGGAAATGACCCACAAAACTAGGGCTTTGAGGACCTTTTTCCGCTTGAGCAATCTTTACTTTACCCAAACGACAAGCACCTCCTACGACCTTTTGCCAAGTTCCTCGTGATTTGAACTCTCTTCCAGTTTACTTTTCCTTGGGAACGTTGAACCATCTCGCGAGCAGTTTCCAAGTTTTTATCCGCAAACTTTCTCCAGACCATTTCACATTACAGTCAAACTCACAGCACTCCCCTGATCATCGACGTTAGACGGATCGCAGTGTGCCTTTTACTGCGTCATAGACAGCATGGAACGTACTGATTCTGGATTCTACGTTGTTGACGTGCTCAACTTGAAGCAACCGGCGGGAAAGCCTTTTCATGTCGAAGCCCGCATACGTGGTCGGAGCACGGTACCAGGTGCTTCTGCGGTAGCCCGTCACAATGCATTCATTGAGGACAGAGTGCGACGTCTTCGTCGTCGCACTTCTCACGTCCGAGCTGTCTGTGCGGCAAAGCGCATGCGTGAGAATGGTGATAAATCCGCCAAAAAGTCCCGAATTACAGAAACGTTAGAGGTAGCGGAACGCAATCGACGTACCATTCTGGAGCGCCAGGTGCGGTCTTGTGCGGAAGCCGTCGCCCATGCAAAACGAGTCGCTCGCGAACAATCCGAGCGATTGGCAGAACTTACTGCCGCCCGAAGGGCCGCTCTAGAGGAGCGGCTCAGAATAACAGCACTTCGCCGTCAGCGTCTTCTCACCATTCCACGGTCGCGCTTGCTTGAACCTCAGCCATGGGACGAGGGCGGCCTACGTACGGTCGCCACGGATGCTGTCATCAGCATCCAACAATGGTGGCGCAGAATGAAAGTTGACCCCTTAGTGAGAAACTTTCTGCGCTTCGGTGTATCATTGGACAAATCTTTGAAGACTCCATTTGAAAAACTCGTGCGGACTATGCAATCTCCGTCGCTGATCAAGGCAGTTGGAAGGCTCCTGATGCGATTAGACAAAATGACCAATCATCCCTCTACTGTATGGAAGAATCCTTCCCGAGTCTTCTTGAGTGCTTACATGCTTGCCGCTCACCCTGAAGAGCTGATGCCGACAATGGGACCTGAAGAAGAGGCAAGTAGGAATGCACACTTTTGGCCAGAGTTGTAACAATGTATTTTAACGTACTATTCTGTCAGGCATTGAGTGAGACGGCTCAGTCGATGATCCGAGAGTTCGAGTCTTGGATAGCAGCGTTTGAGGCGGGGAGAGGATATCAGCAACTTGAACTCTTCTGGAAGTCATGGGCCGGCTACTACGATGCGTTCCAAAGCTGGAAGGAACAGGATTCGCGAAAGATTGTGGATGGAATGATTGCTCACTTTATAGAGCTTGAGCGGCTCTGGCTTTCCGTGAAGAATCAAGTTGATGCTGATACGCAATGGGCACCACGGATTACAGAGCATCAAAGACAGCTGCACGACAAATTGTCCAAGTTTGGAGAGACTGCTTTACAAAGGCTCGCTGCCGAGCGCGATGCCCTCCGTGCCGACTTTGAGGATAGTATCGATACAGCTGCGACTGCCGATATTCTTTCCACCTCTCCGCAGACTTTTCCTTCCCTAAGCCGCTCTCCGCAGAGGCGTACCGACTCTGTTAGCCCTAGTCGCAGCCCAAGCAGCAGTCCTCCAGTTGTGACTAAACCGGCCGTTGTTAGGGCACAAGAGAACATGGCTGGTACGAGCACTATTAGCCAGTCGTCCATCTCGTCAATGGAGCACACAGACCCGCAGATATCGGCGTTCGGTGTTGGAAACCAACTGAGCAATGCCCAGCTGGCACACGAACTCGTCATGGACCCTGAATTCCAGTTAAAACCAGTAAAGAGGAGCGAATTGGAGGAGCAAGTCCGTACATTGGCGAAGAAGGCCTTCTTTGATTCGGTGCGGCAGGACTTTATCGAGGGCAAATTCAGTCACCATGTTCCAGTATTCATTGCGCAGATTAGAGATGTAAGTGCATACAGATCTGCATCAGACCATGGTATTTTTTCGTATTAATGTTTCATTTTTCCGCCGGATAGGCTCTTTTGGCAATGGTTTCAGAGAATGGCAAGTTCGCCGAGAATATCAAGGAAGTTCTCGACGTTGAGCACATCAAGCAACAACTTGATAATAATGCCTTTGATTTCCTACGCTGTTTGAGCTACATTACTGAGAAGATGCTCCAGCTTTGCGCTCCTATCCGTGACGCTGCAATCCGCTCCATTGCTCTATCATCGGATATTGTCACTGCATTTGAACATATTTTGGACATATTGGAGGACATGAAATTGGATTTAGCCAATTATCGCCTCCAAGCCCTGCGTCCGATCTTACAGCAGCAGGCGGTGGAATACGAACGGACCAAATTTGATGAAGCTCTCATTGCTGGTGCGGTGACATTGGAGCGTACGGCTGCCTGGCTTGCAACGGCAGTCAATTCCCTACAGTCTGTCACCGCGGCGCGGAACCCCGAAAATATTCAAACTCCAGAGAACCGGATTGGTTATGAGGACGCATATAACGAGGCGTTATTGAACCTTATTTTCTCTAATACCGCGATCTCGCTTTCCACCCTACCGGAAACATTGTTGTTAGACGCAGACCGTCTATTTGGATTCCAGAACGAAGGTCAGGCGATCACCATTGTGGCGGCTTTGGTTATGCTATCAAAGAATGCCATCAAAGAGCTGCGCGACAATCGTCCAGCAGTCCAAAAGTTGAAACAAACGCTGTTTATTCTCCTCCGCGACAAGGGAACCACGATCGATAATCTTTCTCTGCAAGTTATCTCTACGATCAACGACTCGCTCTCACGACCAAGTGGTCCGCCTACGCGGCTCTCGGTTGAGCAAGAATCGCTCATCCGTAGCATGGTTGAGAAGACTCTCTCATACCGTGACCCAGTGTTTTCTCTTTTGAGTCGCCGTATTCAGTTTGCCATTCGTCATCAACTGGAGAAGGGGGTGTTCAAACGGGAGAGTTTGGCAAGTCACGGATTGGACATTGTGCAGAGTGAGCTAGAATCGCTCTCACGCAGGGTGTGCTTGTTGGCCAAGCACAATAAAGAAGTGTATGCAAAGAACTACGACAGTTTTCTTGAGAAGGTAGTGCAGTAATGGGGGTAGCTAGATACGGCTAGGCTCTTCATCGTTTTACTTTTGTGTTGCTCATTTTTTAGTGCAGTTACACTTTACTATTTTCTGTATAATATTATTAGTTTGCAATGCCTTTTGTAATATAATGGATCATTGTTGGTTTCAGTATGTTCACGTCTAGGTAATCTGTAAAGTCTGAAAGTAGGCATGTTTTGGCACGTCTGACAGTTGCAACTAACGGCGTTGGCCAGCAGATGATACCATCAACTTGGGACATGTCGTATTCATTTGACACATCCGCCCTCACAGAACCACTCCTTAAGAGCAGCGAAAGGCAATGCTCTAATAGAATACAGATCATCTTTGGCACGAGGAATCGTGAACAACGTCATGCTTTTCATAAGAGTCACACTAGTATGTGCCAGATACTGAGTGCTGTAATACCTACAGCACCCTTTCGGTATTGTCCTGGTAAGCAGGAGCATGATTCACATGCATGATGGTGTGGTCGGTCAAAGGAGACCACAACATGATGCCAGGAGATGCTCCTGCAAATGATGGTAGATACGAAACCCCACCTATCATAGAGAAAATGATTAGTGCCCACAGCTTCAGATAGCAAATTGACATGTCTGAGACATCAGCGTTCGAAGTTGTAATCTCATAGAATCATGTGAAACACGGATGAACAAAAAGCATCATCTGTCCCAGGACATTCATCTCGGGCATCAACTCACCACTAAGAAGCGACTTTCTAACTTTTTCGTTGCGCATCGCAGATCTGTAAAAGAAGGACCCATAAGCTACTGTCCAAATGTCGGAACAGGTTACATTATGCAAAATAGGATCAGATAGTTTCGAGCAAAGAGTTCTCTTTCATTATTTTCAGAAGCAGAACTGGCATTAACTTTGTCGTATCATCACTTCCCATTGCCCGCATACAGAACACATAAGAAACTTACCACGCCATGGAAAATCGTGAACTTGCAGTCCGAGACAATCAAGTATGTCCACGACAATGCAAAGAAGTGCGGTTCAAAACCGAAGCGCACCTGCTTGGCATATTCGCAGAAACCTGAACCAAAGTCACAAGAGACATGAAGTGGTTAGCGTATTACAACAGATAGCGCCTCAAGAACTGAAGCCAAATGGGATAGGAAAGCGTCGGTTGGTGGTGCATTGGCAGTATTTCTTTCCTCACAAAGCATCGGTGATTCTGATTCGTCACCCGCTCTCTCATCCCATGTTGGTCAAAAGAATTCAAATAAGAGCTCACCTTGGAAAGTTGAAGACTTGTGAGCTGTTGACGAGACGAAGAAGGCTGCTTTTATAAGGCCGAAAAATCAAAGCACCCTGCGCCTCGAGCATCTATTGGCTACATTCTCTTACGTCACGATCAACGGTCTTGAACGAGCGTCTCCAGCATTTTGCCAACGCTTTACGGAGATGCCCCGCTTGACCCTGCCGCAGGTCTCTCGGACCTTGAAACCGGCTAGAGCTTCTTTTACATTTAGACAGTTGGCAGTAGCATCATGTAATGGGTCGAATAGGTCGAGTAGAAGCGGGAACATGCCATTCCCGGCAGCCGTGATACCCCGATATGCACCGTTTATTTGCCAAAGCTGTCGGAGTTTAGCATCAGAAGCTCCCCGCCATAAAAAGGACATACTCTTCTCGATTACTCCTGACCGTGCTGAGGTATCTCGTCTCTTGACGCTGGTGGAAGGTCGAAACAACTGGGCGGGTATGCGAGCCGAGAGAACCGATCTCTTAGATAAAGTTCAGGTTTGTATATCCTACTTTCTTCAAAGATCAATATCTGACTGCGATTAACACTGTCATATTCTATAGTCGGATACATTGTGGCAGGATGATGCGGATAAAGCTATCGTGTATCAGAAACGTCTATCACAGCTGGAAGATGCGTTGAACGAGTACGATTCTTACTTGGCGAAGCATGATGAAATTACGGACCTGCTTGGTAAATGTCTGTGGAGTCCTTGTAGTATAAATCATACGCTCAATCAATATATCCTATCTGCAGAGCTTGCGCAGGAGGAACAAGACCCGGCTCTGTGTGACGATATCACTGCGGATTTGCATAGTTTGCGAGAGCAGTTGGAAAAGTTTTCTCTTCGCTTGATGATGTGAGGCTACATTTACAAATTTGATGATCAGAGTGAATTACTGACCATTGTGATACAGGTCAGAAGAAGCCGATAGGAATGGTTGCTTTTTGGAGCTGCGAGCTGGGGCAGGCGGCGCCGAAGCTTGCGATTGGGTGTCGATTCTCGCTCGGTAATACTGTTTGGAAGGCTCAATTCGTGGTGCGAGGAAGCTTAACATTCTGTGTTCATAGAATGTACGAGCGCTGGGGCGTCTCTCAATCACACGATGGTGAGAAAGTTGGATGGATGGCAAAGTACGGACTTTCACAATGTCTAATATCTACATCGAACTTGTAGTCAAGGTAGTCGATGACGTAAAAGGAGAAGTTGCCGGTTTAAAGTCGGCCACATTGCAAATAAATGGGGAATACGCTTATGGGTGGTGCAAGCATGAAGCAGGTGTACATCGTTTCGTGCGAATGTCTCCGTTTGACGCAAATGTATGTACCCTGTCACAGGCAGTGCCTTTTAGCTCTCTAACATGGGTGTGTTGCTGGTAGAATAAGCGACATACGTCCTTTGTGTCAGTTCAAGTCTATCCCGCCTTCGAGTCGAACGGTGCTTCCGACGCGCGAAGCATTGAAATTCCTCCTGGCGACATCAAGATCGATGTTATGAGAGCACAAGGTGCTGGAGGGCAGCACGTGAATACAACGGAAAGTGCGGTACGAATCGTACATCTCCCAACTGGAATTATGGTTACGGTAAGCTATTGGTCGACACCATGTTTCATCCACGGCAACAAACCCTCACTTGCATATACGTGTATACAGTGTCAGTCACAGCGATCACAACATCAAAATAGGGCAGTTGCTCTTCAGATGCTTCAAGCCAAGCTTTATGAACGAGAGCTGCGGGCAAAGTATGGTCAGGAGGGCGCGACATCATTGAGGGCATTTAACTGATATATGTATACTTTCGTCTTAGGATGCAAGCAAAGGCAGACCAGCGTGCCGAGCTTGCGGACAATGCATGGGGTTCCCAAATTCGATCTTACGTGCTTCATCCTTATAAGATGATTAAAGACGTACGAACAGGGTATGAGCGAGGGGATGTTGATAAAGTCCTGGATGGTGATTTAAACGCGTTCATGGAAGCAGCTTTGCTGCATTTTGGGAGAAAGTCTATGGGATAGATATGCACTGCATTTATTTATTTATGTCTAGTAGGATATTTGTACATAGCCAATCCTCGTTTTCAAAAAGGTCTTTTCCAGTGGTCTTGGCCTTACTAGTTGGCCTTCTTTGCTGCTGCGCCACCCACGCGATCGTTCGATGGCCGTCGACATGAGGTGATCGCGTCCAACCCACCCAACTCACCAACTTTCTTTTCCAGACACCACCGTATGCACTGGCGGCCGAGTTCCCTCATCCCCGTTCTGACCAGAACTTTCACTTGCAAAGCTCCCCAGTCGTCCCGCCGGTCTTCAACCAGGCTAAAATTCTGGTACCAGAATAGAACAATTCCGAACTCATTCCCACCAATCCTCCGCACATTCAGCGCTTCCTCGCAAATGATGGGTGTAGACTGGGCAAGCTATGATCGCGAGCAGGTTCGCCTCATGGGCGAAATGTGCATTGTCGTAGACGAAAATGACAAGGCATTGAAAGGCGACTCAAAAGAAAATTGTGAGGGACTTTTACCGTATTGCCATTAAAGCTTTCCTTAACCGATCGTATATTTAAGGTCATTTGATGCGAAATATAAACGAAGGACTACTTCACCGAGCATTCAGTGTCTTCATCTTCAACAAGGAGGGAAAGCTTCTCCTTCAGCAACGAGCAGACGAAAAAATCACCTTCCCTGGATACTTTACAAATACATGTTGCTCTCACCCACTGATGACGCCAGAGGAAACGGAGGAGGAGGGTCAACTAGGTGCGTTGAACTGTATTTATTGTGTCAACTCCGTGGTTGAGTGACTGAGACAACGGAATGGTGCGCGCACAGGTGCGAGAAGAGCAGCACAACGAAAGCTTGAGCATGAGCTGGGTATACCGCCGGAGCAGGTGCCTTTGGATAAGTTGGAGTTTCTGACACGGATACATTATTTGGCTCCGTCCGATGGGCTATGGGGAGAGCACGAGAGTACGTACATCAGTTTCGGCAAACCTAGGTGCACGAGGCGGATGTTGACTCCATTGAACGCCTACAGTCGACTACATTTTCATTTTCAAAGGAGAGGTAGATTGCAAGCCAAATCCGAACGAAGTCAAATCGATCAAGTATGTGAGCAAGGAGGAACTGCAGGAGATTTTCGAAACGGCTGGTGGGTGTCTTTATGTGCATGGCTTTATATGCGTCCGCAAATACTCACAAAAGTATCTCAATTACAGAGGAAAAGGGCATACTTTTGACTCCTTGGTTCAGACTGATAGTTGAGAAATTCCTCTACACGTGGTGGGACAACTTGGGCACATTGAAGAAGTTCAAAGATACGGAAAACATTCACCGGCTGTTGCCAAACTAAATAATACGTTGAACACTAATTAGAAGTATATACAATACGAATACCAAGTGTCATCTTTTCAAGGGAAATCCAGCCTCTTCTTTCAAGATGTCAATAAAGATGGTTGGATCGCTCTCCTCAAGGCGGTGCAAGTTCTCCCACCCGCCCTTGTCAATGGAGGTCGTTAAATTCTCTACGTCCGTCCATATCAAGACCCCCTGCCTTGCCATAGCAGTTGCCAATTCTAGTTGGTGGTTGTCCATGAGACCTCTGTTAACGACCACCAGCAACGGCTTTCCCAGTGCTAGTCCTTCGAGGATCGAACCTGCTCCGGCATGTGAAATGACCAAGGCAGCAGATTGATAATCCGCATTTAGATCTGGTTTGAAGTCGTATGTTATTACTCGAATGGGTGAGCCAGGTGGTATCAATGGGATTGGGCTTCTCCCGTGTTGGATTGTGAGGCGCGTAAAACCATTCCGGTGTACCGCATTCAGGAACTCTAGTGTAGATACCGTTTCAACTAGAGCATCAAACCGTGTGGTGCCGACTGTTATGAAGGCGCTTCGTTCAGCATCGTTGTTGGTTGCAGACATGGGAATGGTAAGCAAGGCAGGATGTCACGGAAGGTCGCGAAAGGCTGGTCCTTTGACTGCGCCTCATTTTCGCCGATCTTGTAATAAGCGCGGGGTTCTTGGTCGACTTTCCACACCATAGATCTGAGCAATGCGGACGGGAGCATTCCGCCAGATATGCACCTGCAGCCGGACAACTGTGTCCGCTCAGCTACGACCGCTTTGGTTATTATCAAATTTGAACTCACGACGGTTACAAAGCAGTTCAAGCGGGGAATCAGAGGGAAGCCCTCGCTTCAGTTCGGAGAGCGGTAGCATATCCACAGTGGATTCCGTCGTACGGCGCTCTGTGCATCGCAAGTTTCTGGGAAAGGTGCCTTGCGCGGTTCTCTGCCAGAGTCAATTCAAAGCCTAACTGAGTTCCTTTTGCTCGTTCGCAAGGGACAACCCTTTGTTGACTTCAAACGCGTCAAAGTGACGGCTGGGAAAGGCGGCGACGGGGCAATCACATTCTTCAAAAGTAGTCGAAATCCGTTCGGTCCCCCAAGCGGAGGAAATGGTGGTCGTGGAGGAAACGTGTTCATAGTTGCTTCAAAAGAAATCACTTCATTAAATGGGGTGCAAAATCGTTATGCGGCGCCGGATGGAGGACCTGGACAAGGAAAGCAGATGCATGGGGCCGATGGCAAGGATACCGAAATTGTTGTACCGGTGGGAACCCAAGTGAGGCAATTCGAACCGCACGAACGAAAGGACTCTACGACGGATGATGCAGAGGAAGGGAATGAAAACGATATGAATGCATTTGAAGATGAAGCAAGATCTGAGGAAGACATCAAAATCGAAAATATGGAGTTGATAAGTAAATTCTACAAATTTCGCTCAGGTTATACTCCACAAGAAGATCGCATGCAAATGCTTTTAGAGCGTATACCGTACGAGCAGAGCACAACAGGCCAATTTGTGGATTTTGATCTTACAAGCGACGGGGAACGACATCTCGTAGCGCAGGGCGGAAAGGGAGGGCAAGGAAACCCTCATTTTCTCTCATCTGAAATAAGGGGCCCAGCGTTAGCAGGCAAAGGGAGGCCAGGGACGACTCTCTGGCTGGAATTGGAGTTGAAAACAATCGCAGACGCTGGTCTTGTGGGCTTACCGAACGCCGGAAAGTCGACGTTTCTAGCCGCTGTGTCGAACGCACATCCTCGTATAGCACCCTATCCTTTCACTACTCTCAATCCTTATGTTGGCACCATTGACTTTCCGGATTTCTGGACGATGACCATAGCTGACATTCCCGGGCTCATTGAAGGTGCACATCGGAATGTCGGCATAGGACACCGGTTCTTGCGCCACGTAGAGAGAAATCGAATGCTCGTATACGTGATTGATCTTGCAGGGAAAGCGCCATGGCGAGATTTTGAAGTACTGATGCGTGAATTAGAGGCATACAAACCTGGTTTGACCAACAAGCCGAGCTTGATCGTGGCAAACAAAGCGGACATGGGCAAGATTGCCAAGGATAACTTGGAAATTCTCAAGTGTAAGACGAATGTGCCCATCGTGCCGATTTCTGCGATGGAGAGAAAGAATATCACAAAAGCCACCGATCTAATGAGGCAGATGGTGGAGAAGATTCGAGCGGAGAGCACAGATTAGGATGTTGTAAATAGTTTCTTACATTTGTATTTATTTATTACAATACACATAGGGCCATAGTGATCACTGCACAGGATTCTCTTCTATCGGATGTCCGAAATTTTGTAGATATGTCCCAGACTCGCTTGTGGCTACCGTTTTGAGGACACAAAGTAGCCCGGCGTCTTTTTGAGCTGGTCCGCTGATGTGTCGATCACCCAGTCCCCAATTCGCAAGTACTGTCCAACCGCACTCCGCAAGGTTTCGTTTTCTATCCTTTGATAGTTGAAATCTACACGTCGGGAAACAACTTGAGTTGAGAGCATCGTCGATACACGAGTAATGGTGGGCTGCACTTACCGACGCCGGCCGCACGCCGTGCCCCCGAAAACGCAGTACTCAATAGAACCGCCTCAAAAGCATAGTGCAAAAGTCTGGCCATCCCGACTGCTCGTTCCAAGTCGTAATGGTTTCTAATTGCGATGGGTTGATTGGACAAAGGTTGGTTGGAAAGCGAGTTGTGCGAGCAGTTTCATAAATCGTGACTAGGCCGCACAGTCATGTATCTTATATAAGTCCCCGTCGCGCTCCGCCATTGAAAGAGGTTTCTGCGGTGATTTCCCAACAGTGGCGGACCATCACAATCTTGGCACATCGCGGGCAGGGTTCGTGCTTTAAGTAGGTTAACCAAGTGGCCGCAATTGATGCCTGTGCTTTTTTCTCGCTTTTTTCATTGCTCTGACCGCTCATGTTTGGTTCTATTCGGTATCCAATGCAGTTTCCAAGCAGGAGCCTGAGACGCACCATCCTTTCAAAACCTCCTCTATTCCGGCAATACAATCCCAGTCGACAACCATGAGTGGCGTTGCAGTTATTGTCACGTTTATCCTGTTTGCAATTGCGGGTGGCGTCGGGTTCTACTTCATCCCCAAATCACCAGACCAAGTGTAAGAGTGTCTCCTCTGGATTATGGATGTCAATATCAAATGTATCCTGAGTGGTCTAACCGTGCTTTGCATGTTGGTTTGACAGTCTTTACAGAACAGTCCTATCGCTGACATTAGCCTGTACCTGGACAATGTAAGTTCCCAAGGCTCGCCCAACCGTATCGCCAATTGCATTTCTAATGTTTGTTATTCTCAGGTGGGCATTAACGTATCTCGCACAACTGAACCCGCTCATTGTACCAGAACGTAGCTATGGACATCATAATTCAACACATGATGAGCACTGAGATTGATGATATGGGAAGGAGTGTGCTGTGTGGTTGAGGTTGAGATGACTTGTGCCTCAATTGGTATTTCTTTAATAATGACTTGAATTGTGAAATGCATAGAACGATAAGGTGTGCGCGTTTGGGTATTGTGGCGACAAGAATGATAGCAGAGGACGTATCAGCCCGGTGAACCCTATCTTAACCTTGGCAGTTATTTTACTCTAACGTCCAAAGGCGATCACCCTGCATCTTTTGTCCGCCATATGTGACATGTATTGTCTTTGGACGCTGGTGTGAAGAAAGCAGGTTGAGCACTAACACTTTACACGTGAAGCTGACTTTGGATTTCAAACCTGTCACAATATAGTCTCCTTCGTAGTTGAATGCGCAACTGAAGATTTCGTCGGTATGCCCCTCCAGGACTTGAGTACATCTCCCATCGAAGCTGCTCCATAATCTAGCTGTTTTGTCTCGACTCCCTGTCAAAATTTGGCTACCGGTCGAATCAAACGTGATCTGTGTACCAGAAATGTACATCAACAAGGTTTTAACGATATCAATGACGGAAAGGGTCAGCCAAACCTTTGAAATCTCATTATCATGGCCAGTCAACGTGTATAAACATTCATTGGATTGCGTGTCGTAGATTCTCGCAGTCTTATCTGCTGACGCTGTGGCAATCCGAGTGCCGGTACAATTGAAAGCAATATCGAGGACTTCATCCGTGTGGCCCCTGTTTAGTTCAAGTCAGTGGATAACTAGTCCTCGGCCCAGGATAAGTAGCGCTTGGTACCTCAATGTTTGTGTACACTCGCCGGAATTCACATCCCATAATTTCGCTGTACCATCCATGGATCCGCTCAGAATATTTGTGGATTGATGGTTGAAAACAGCATTCGATATTTCGCTGCGGTGGCCAATCAGAGTATGCAGATTTCTGAATCATCTCATCAGTGCCTTGTACAGACCACCCAAAAAAATGGCAACAACTACCTTCCAGTTCTGACATCCCAAACATTTATTGTGGAATCAAACGAACCAGTCAGCAGCAAATCTCCTGAATTACTGAAGCCAATCGTTATCACTTCGGCTGAGTGACCCTGACGAACGGTAATGTCAGCGAAGTTTGGCACAGCGACATGCCACTCAAATATTTACCTTGAATTTGCATACATCTGAGCCAGTCCTTACATCCCACAGCATGGATGTACTGTCCATACTTCCAGTTGCAACTATTGTGCTGTGCGGGTTGAACGACAGCGCGACGATTTCGCCAGTGTGTCCTTTGAAGGTGTGGTGACATTTTCCTGTTTCTGCGCTCCACAGCTATACAATTGGTGTATCTATCAGCTGTTCTCGTGAACACGAGCTAATGAGAGGAAGAGCGAACATCCTCTTTACCTTTGCGGTTCGATCGAATGAGCCCGTGACAATTTTGTCGCTAGGGTACAGTTGGTAGATTGTGAGAAAAGCTTAAGGCGCAATGTTTAATAAGAAGCTTACCCGAAGGGATTGTTAAACGACAGAGAGTACACGACGTTCTTGTGACCATCGAGCGTCAACAGCTCGGTTCCGTTGACCGTATCCCAGACTTTGCAGAGGCGGTCATAGCTGCCGGTGATGATCCTGCGGTACAAGATCAACCCACTCAGAGCGCTATCCAAGGACATATCCCTTAAAAGCCTCCAGTAGCGTCCTAACCTGTCACCCGATTTGTTGAAAGCGCAATTCGTCAAAGGCATTACATGAGCCCGAAGTTTTTTATGTGAAACGTAGGTAAACGGTATTCGTCGGACATTTTTATTTTTCAAGGCTTTGATCGAGAATTAGAAAAGCTCATCAGTCTTGCGGGGGTTTCACCTTTGCTTACATTGCAGCACACTCAAGATCTTATCTGATTCCACTCGCGCCAAGAGCGGTTCCCGTTGCTTTAGATCATGTGCAGCCTTTGTCAAGTCCGCCCTGTAGCATATATACTCAAATAAATAACAATATTCTTTTAATCAGTAAAGAACTGCAGCTTCTTCACCCTACGCATATGGAAGGTCCATAAGGTCGATCGCCTTTGTGTGGAGCCTTTGCGCCTGTACATACTCCACAATGATTCCTGCAAAGCATGACTTAGAAAATTGAACAGCGACTTTGTCGTATACAGAATACACTTATTCTGAAGTACCCGGTGGATAGTGTCGTAGAAGGATTCTTTGTAACTTCATGCTTCAGAAATAGGATGGGCGACCGAGAAAACCTCGACGCGAAACGCAATGCATTTGGGACGCCTGGATGGCGTGGTGACTAGCCAACTGCCGCGATTACATGATACAGAAACCTATGTGCTTAGTAACTGGGGACAAGCCTACGTGGGGACAGCGACCGATGCAAAGCAATATAAGATTTGGTAAAAGCGTATGTCCATTCTTGGTTTAGTGGCGATGCCGATTGCAAGAGCAGGAGAATACAAGTGCGAATTGCATATATAATCGCTTGCCAGAGAACATAATTGGTCAAACCAGAATCTGACAGTTGGGGACTCTTGGCTTACGACATTTGTAGCTGGAATCAACGGGCAACGACGGGTAGCGAAAAGCCATCGTTGCAAAAGATCATGACGCATCCCAGCGCTACATTCATATTCGCAGGAGTTGCCATCAAGGACTCTCCATACCCACGATACGCGGAACCAAGATAAAGATAATCCGGCTCGCACCTGTTAGGGGCGGTGTTGCTCAATTGAAGCTATTCCTGCATGTCTTGGAGGTGGATATCTGACAGTGGTTAAGTGGTAAACGCAAGCAAGCCGCCTCCAGGACAATTTCGGAACGCTTGATGTTTCGCCATTTGGAAGGATTGCCCCAAAAATGAAGACTTGAAGCAGGGTTGTTGCTATGCCAACAAGTGGACTCGTCCAACGCGCGCACTCGACTAGACACGTCTTAGGGAGCCTCAACAAACATCATCACCACGCGCACTCATCGTTCAGCCGTACCCAACAGCTCGTCGTGCTTTACTTGTTGCTCATCCCTGCTTCCTTCATTTAATAGTCCTCCCCATCATGTTTCTGACAAGGTAGGGTGTCTGAGCCGATATCGCAAATATCGCCCAGGTTGTTTATTTCTGACCAATTGGCTTCTAGGAGTGAATACGATCGAGGTGTCAACACCTTTAGTCCTGAGGGACGTTTGTTCCAAGTCGAATATGCGATCGAAGCCATCAAGGTAAACTGCTCATATTCCCTCCTTGTGGTACCTCATTACTAAAGTCTGAATAGTTGGGGTCAACCGCGGTCGGCATTCAAACCGCCGAGGGAGTCGTGCTGGCCGTAGAGAAAAGAGTGACCTCAACATTGTTGGAACCGAGCTCGATCGAAAAGATTATGGAAATTGATCAACATCTAGGATGTGCCATGTCTGGCCTAACGGCGGATTCCCGGACGATGATCGATCATGCGCGTGTCGAGGCACAGGTGGGAAAGATGGTCTTTTAAGCCTGTAACTGGACAGACAACCTGGTTTCTCATTTGCTGACGGACCATTGTGCTTTAGAACCATTGGTTCACTTACAATGAGAGGATCAAGGTGGAAAGTGTGACACAGGCTGTGTGTGATTTGGCATTGCGGTTCGGTGAAAGTGCGGCATCAGAGGAAGCACTGATGGTATGTGGTTGCAAGTATCTTGGAATGAAGAGACTTATAACTAACAGTTCGTCCCTATCAGTCTCGACCATTCGGTGTGGCACTGTTGATAGCGGGAGTGGATGAGAAAGGTCCACAGCTGTGAGTGACATCATGTTCGAAGAGTTTGCAAAGATTGCGAGGCTAATAGCGGTTTAGCTTTCACACTGACCCTTCTGGAACATTCATGCGATACGACGCTAAAGCAATAGGTTCAGGATCAGAAGGAGCTCAGGGTGAGCTGCAAGAGCAGTATCACAAGGTAGTAATTCTCGGTGGTAATGCTGTAATCTGTATCGGTACTCATGTAATTTCGTGTTAGTCGATGACACTGAAAGAAGCTGAGGTGCTTTCGTTGAAAGTTCTGAAGCAGGTTATGGAGGAAAAACTCAGTGCGACAAATGTACAAGTCGCTGTCGTAACGCCTATTTCCGCTGATGGCACAGGAGGGTACCGAATTCTTCTGGAGGAGGAATTGCAGGAGATTATTGCGCAATTAGCATAGATAGGTTTTCAATAACAATTTCGTTTTGATGACAGGCAGATTCAGTCTCCGGGATCACCCAAAATTATAGTTATATATACATCTTGTTAAGAAAAACAGATAATCCTATCAGGCACTTCCACAGCAACAAAGCCCCAAACATCTCACCAAAAACCTAAACAAAAATAAGCAAGAACCACAACTGACACAGTTACCGGTCTATCTCTACGCCATCGTATGTACATGAGTTTCCTTTTGAGTTGTTCTATATACACTCCTGCAAGGTAACCTTGAGCTCCCTTACTTTGGCGCAGCGTTCTTTGCATCGAGCGCCGGTTTCACAACATAGATATACACAACAACAGCGACGATAATAAGCAAGACCAGGACGCAAGCGCATATCCACCAGGCAGTCTTTCTCGAGCTCTTTCTGTGGACGATGGCTTGCGTCATTTCCTTATTTCCATCCTCGATATACACATGCGTGTTCTCAACATGCGTCTCAATCGCGTTGATGGTTTCCTGCTGTTGCTCCAGCATGGCCTGCATTTCCTGAAAGAGTGTGAAGAGCTCGTTGATACTCTGTTCGATACGATGGATTTCTTCATGACGGTTCTGAACTTCTGCAAGAGCAGCTCTTTGGGCACCGACACGGGAAGACAAGAGCTGTTGAGAAAAGACACTGCCCGTGTTGGAGTCCAGGGCTCGTTCAATCTCTCCAGGTGTGGCGTCAGGACGGGCGATCCGGATTTCGCGCTCCATGCGTTGCCGATACTTTTGTTTTGATTTCATTTGAACGTCCTGGTACTCTTGGGCTACTTCCATGAGTCGCTTGGCGAGTCCTGCTTGCTGTTGCTGTCGGATACCAGCATCTGCCTGTGATGCATTCTTTGTTCCGGCAGCCATCTTTTTCACTGTTGCACGCAGACTTTGAATGAGGTCGCTTGTTTCGTCCTGCACATCGTCCACTTGGCGAGTGTAACCTAACGCCAAACAACAACAAAAAAACAATCAACACACTTTTCACACGCAAGAGCCACTAAGAGTCTCTCTTTACTCACGAGCTTGTTCATCTGGACTCGTTGCAAGGAGAGCCCGCTGGTGCAATTGCTCAATGGTTCTGACATTCTGTCGTACACGCTCAATCCCCTTTTGAACCTGCTCCACGTCGGCAAAGAAACTGTCCAACTGAGACCCGCTGTTTGACCGTCCATACGAGTTTCCACCTCCTCCTCCGTATGACGAAGCGTAGCGACCCATCTCCATGTCGCTCTCACCGTAACCACCGTTCCCACCGTAAGAACTGTATGAACCACCGGGGCGAGTTTGCGTCATTGCGGGCGACGGGTAGCGGGGAGCATTGTTGGTAGGGCGACGGAGATCTTGCGTGCGGTCGCGCGACATTGGATGCAGTTGACGAAATGAAAGTGGACGGGAACGTAGAGACTTGACTTGAAGGAGGCGGGAAGGTGGTCTCGAAAGATTAAAGTCAAAAGCACAAAAAAGAAGGAATTTCAAACCACCAACAAGCACCAGCCTCGTTTTTTTGGCCCTTTGGGAGAAAAGCCTTCAAAAGGAGCCTCCGCCTTTCTGACCAAAAAAATGAAACGCCAGTCCGCCCGTCACTCCTGATCCGTTATGCGGCAACTTTGCCTTTTTTGGACATATTGCGGATTATCGAACCGCGTTTCATTTACCAAAACGGTTTCAATGTTTTCACACAAGTTGGACTTATGGTGATCATTTCGTTATTTAAATTTACACATATTCCAAAAAGTATAAACAACAAAAGGAAAAAAAATTAAACAAGTAAAATACAAAGAGAACGACCTCTATAGGATGTTATTCACTAGCAAAGGGCCTCAAAAACCGTGTAATTGCAATGTTGCCAATGTTCCCGAGTTGGGACCCAGGAGTCGTTGCTTGAGGTACCGGCACACTATGTGTATTCGATGATGGGGATGTAGGCGGGCCTTGCTGTCTTTGCATGCGCACAAAATTTTCAACGTACGGATGTACGCTGTGCTGCACGGCTTTGGCGACACGTTGCGCGGCAGCAGCGGCAGCAGCTTGTTGAGGATGAGGGCGGTTTTCTCGAGTAAGCGAGGGATGATAGTACACTGGTGCTAGAGGTAAGTGATCTGGGAGCGACATGGATTGAAGCATAACCTCGGCTTTAATGTCCAATTGGGCTGCAACCTCGTCAATGTTGTCCATCGAACCGCTGGTCTTCACATGCACATTTGTGGTTTTTGGCACAGCATCGAGTAGACCTCCTGTCTTTGTTCTTCGGATAACTGGCTCCTGTGCCTCTTCACTGGAATCGTCCAATGACAGCATATCAGCTACTCTCTGGAACGAAGGTGGCGACAGGTCCAAGATTGCCGGAGAGCCTCGCTGTGCACTTTCATGCAGCAACCGATGGCGAGCGGTGAAATAAGAGCGAGAGCCCAGTTCATCAACTCTGAACGCGTCCACAGATCGGGCGCGAGTCTCCTCCAGAAGCCTATCCAGTTCAAGTTGATTCTTCTTGTAATAGTTCTGTGCTTGTTTGGCGGATTTGCTTCCAACATGGCGCGCAACCAGCTCCCAATTGGTACCATACTCCTTATATGCATCCTTGAAGGCCACTGTTTCTTCACTATTCCAGTACGATATGGTTCGCTTTGGTTGCGGGGACGAACGGCCTACGTCAACCACGTCCGCATCCAACAAATCTCCAGAGCTGCTTTTGACAGTGTCTTCAGTCTCTCTTCGTCGACCATGGCGTTTTCGCTGTTTCATGTCCGAGAGGGCTACGTCTTCACTTTGAGCTAAACCCTTGAGAGCCGTCCGCGGCGATGGCATCGGTGAGTCCAGCGATCCATATGGACTGGCTTCACCGAAATCTTCAACACCTCGCTCAGTCGTGCTGTCATCCCCCTCTATCACATCTGGTAACTCCAAGTCAGCAGCGGGGACAGTGCGTGCCTTGGTCTTGTGGTGCGTCGTTGCGGGAGTTCTGGTCACATCAGGCGTATCATATTTGCCTGCATCAGGGGTAATTTCAAAAACAACCTCTTTTCTGCTTTTCTCGAATGCGCGACCAGAACCAAGCTCAGTGACTTCACCACTGTGCATCACTTTCGTTGATGGCGGTCCCTTTCTCCGTTTACTGGCGTCTTCAATGTCCGACTGATCCCCAGGTATTTCTTGCCCATCCACCCTTATTCGACTGCGTGAGCCTCGGCGCCCATTATCCCCTGTAGTTTCGTCCGCCATCTTTACGACCCTACCAGGCGGAGCTTCCTTTGGCCGACCTGCTCCTCGTCGACCACCAGCCGACGTTGGTGAATCCTTAGCGGAAGCGGCACCGGTTGGGAGTAATAGGTAAGATGGCCCTTCTGTGCCAATCTCTTTCCCAGCTTTTCGGGCAGCAGCCGCTCGACGCTTTGCTCGACTCATTGCCCGCTTTATAGCATGCTTGAGATTAAGGTGATTCTTTTCGCGGTAATAGTAGTCGACACATTGTCGAGGAGTTTTGTGCGGCAAATGGGTGGATATAGAATGAAAGTTCTTGCCATATTGCAATATCTTTTCTTTGAAAATCCGCTGCTCCGTGTCCGTCCACGTCATTGTCAACCTTGCATTGTAGCGCTCCAAATCCCTCACAGGGTCGTACACTAGATCATTGTAATTTCGAAAACAAAGGAGCTTTCGTTGGAGAGGATCCATAACCATAGGTGGTTCTACGGCGGATCTCGCTGGGTCATGATCCGTAGGATCGTCATCAACATTGCCAAGAAGCGCAAGCGCGTATTGAAATTCTGCTTCGGTCCTAACAGTATCGGATGTGAAAGTTGCGGTGCGGCGAGATCCTCTGGTATAAAGTCCTCCAGCATTAGATCCGGAACTAGTTGCAGCGAATGTGACAGTCGTCGATGTATTCCCTAGCACGGTTCCTCCAGTCTTTCCGAGTTTTCTCTTCTTTCTAGCCTCGTCCTGTTCGATTAGTTCTGATGTTCGACGCCACTCTCCAAGTCGCTCCTTGTATTCCTGCCGTAACGACGCTCGCTTTTCTCCATTTTGCGAGAATCTATGGCAGATTTTCTGTGAAACAAGTGCCCGTATAGTTGCGTGTATCTCCGTGTTCGGTAGGTAGAAATTGTAGTCGCATGGTTCAGTATACAGGCCTTTGATCGGAAGATAGAAAACCTTTGCATCTGTCCTTTTGCACATGTTTTTCCGAACCTGCCGTGCTCTTCTTCGATTCTTTCTCGTAATCCTCTCCCATAGTTGCAACTCCTTGTCGGTATCCCTTTCCCCTACATCACCGTCACTCCCTGATTCCCCATCATTCTCTTCTACCGAAAAATCAACGTCCATTCCATCTTCATTAGCTGCGGGACTACCCGACCTTTGATGTGTATCGCTTTCCCACGCGGGCTCATCATCATTTTCAGTCTTGATATTCGGTCCCGCAACGTTGTCATCTCGCTTTGTGCCGGCTTGCTCCTTCACTAACGCCAATAGCTCTTTGTACTCTGCAATTTCATCCTCAAGTCTTGCTAATCGTTCCAAACTCTGGCTACTTTCGTTGAGACTTGCCTTCCTGGTCGCCGACGGCGTGTCAGGTGTGATAACGGACGAGGCCGTTTCTTCAACCGCATGGCGATCTCTCGGAAGTGACGCCTCTTCCTCCTCATTTTGTTCCACTCCTTTGTCAGCCCGCCTGGGTTGTGCGCGGTCTAGGGGCAACTCTGGTACATCTCGCGAGAAGTAACTGAACCTGTTTTCGCTTGTAGGTTTCTGCCATGCTGGATTGGCAGGATGTGGTGATGTCAACACCGGGGCCGTTTTGTCGTCCGACTTTTCAGGTGAAGGATCGTAGACCTTGGGAGGTGGTCCGCCAAATCCAGCCCTAAAGCCAACCTCACCCCGTAAGGACCCTTCCTGTGAACGATCACTTGACCCTCTTGACGTAAAGGGAGGACGTTCAGTTGGCTGCCATATATCATGCGCACTGCCCGGCGACACGGTAGTTTCTGTTCGAGGTTGATAGGGACTTGGTCGCACTGAGCGAAAATCAGTGCCAGATCGGTAATTAGCATTTGGCGTCATAGGAAGATGCTTGTCTAATTCAGAGTTCAGTGGATCATTGTGTGCTTCTCGAATTGAAGCAGGATGACTTTGGAAACGGTGACTTTGAACTCGCTCTCGGCTGTATCTATAGAGCATTTTGAGTCGGCTGGTCTGATATCGTGTTAATTTTGAAGGACTCACACGTACCCACGAAACGCGGCCTCCCTTTCTCGTTCTACATCGGGTCGAATATCTCGTCCACGTTCAGGAGGATCAGCCATCGACCGATATCCACCAAACTTGTCCCCTCGGTAATCATCCCACAGTTCATGTCGTTCCAAATCCTGAGCCTCATTTCTGGACCAGCCACGAACGTCTTCAGGAATTTCTGCTCTGTCCCACGGGTGTGGATATTCTCGAAAGGGATTTATGACATCGGAAGGTGCTGGGCGCGTCCGTGCATCTGGAAATGGTTGGGGATAGTCTCGATAACGGCTCTAAGAAGATCGTCAATCACATTGCTTCTTAAAAAACATAATTTTCCGAACATACCTCTCTCTCTGGATGCCCCACAGGAAATTCCCTTGGCTTCAACTCCAAAGATGGCCTTTTCGAGGGAAACATTCTCACATCTCGTGTGTCACGCAAAAGAGTCCCCCCAACTGGCTCTCGGTATCTATAGGGCTCTCTTCCATGTTCCATGTCCCGTGGGTCCCTGTAAGAGGATGATGGGTATCCACGCGAATAACCGGAATCATGCTCTCTTGGATGGGCACTTGGAGCGACGGGCGTTGTAAATTCACGTTCTCCTCCTTCCCGAAACGTTGCGGGAACAGTACGATCATTACTTCTTCCAAACTCGACGTCATTGCGTCCTACTGGTGCACCATATCTGCTAACGTCGCCCATTCTTCCCTCGCTAAACGATCTCGCATAGTCCACGTCGAGTCTACCAGGTTCCGACTCACGGTGAGCCAAAGGCCTTTCAAGAGCTCCATCCCTCAGGTGCGATTCGTTTGGGAGGGAGCGGCGATGTCGTCTCTGCAGGTCGTCCTCCTCATACTCAAATGGCCGTTCTATCGCCGGTCGCTGTCCGTACTGACTGAAAACGGACAAAGGCGTCAAGGACATTCTGCCAATGCTCCCTACATCAGAGAAGCGCATACCTTTCCGGTCTGTGTCGAGCGCTGTGAACAATCCGTTCCCGTGGTGCATCCCGATATGGTTCAAGTCTCCTGTTCATCGCAAAACCCCACCAACACGCACACACACAACCACCCAACCCACAGAAAGCCCACCAGAAGCAGTTCCTGGATTTGAGACAATACATGACTGTGCCGTTCCAACAATGGCACAGTAGTGGCACAGTCGCAGCCCATTCAGAAAAAGTTGCGTCCGTTTTAAGCAACCTTTTCCCGCTTCTTCCTTTTGCCCTTGGGCTCATTGTTCGTTTTGGACATTGGCATTTTGCATTTTTTTTTAAACGGATACCATTTTCATTCCTGGTTTTCCGCGCAGAGGACACGCGGAAGTTTTTGCAAGCATGTCGACTTCACTGTATGAACCAAACTTTTTGGCGAGCCTAAAGGACGACGCGGAAGACGCTGTCGACCCGGCTGAATTGGTGCTTCCTACACCTCCTCCCCCTCCTCCGCCCTCCTATCCGACGGCGCTAGTCCCTCCAGTGGGTCCACCTTACCAACCATGGGAAGACCCCAGATATGCTCTTGGTCCCATGCCTCACTATAAACCCGTTTATGTACAACAACATCAAGCGCACGTACCACAGCCTGCACCACCGGCCCCAGAGTACTACACACCTCCGGCTGCGTCACCTTCATCAACCGCCTCTACTCTCCAAAACATACTACCTCAAGCTCCGACGTCCTCGTACATGATGCCACCGCAGCATCTCATGCACCAGCAACAATTGCACTACTACTCCATGCAAGCACAGCCTCCTGTGAACGTCCCTGTTTTCCGTCCGTCAAACTTCCCCATACCGGCTCTTCGTCGAAACAATTCCAGCCATATGGGAACACCAGCGAAGCGCCCTACACCTTCACTTCCGCCAAGGATGCCAGTCCCCGCCCGCAAAGGCTTATACGAAGCGACATACTCAAACGTGCCTGTATATGAAATGGCATCACCAAACGGCGTTGGTGTAATGAGACGTCGGCATGACTCGTGGATGAATGCCACACATATCCTCAAAGCTGCTGGGATGGAAAAGAGTCGACGAACAAAGGTTCTCGAGCGAGAGATACATCAGGGTGAACATGAAAAGATTCAAGGGGGATATGGGAAGTACCAAGGCACTTGGTAAGTTGATGGTCGCACGTTATCGGTGAATGCTGGGTAGTACCAGTTACAGTAGAGCCTGGTGGTAACCTTTATTTACCAGGATTCCCCTCTACCGTGCCCGAGAGCTAGCGGCAGAATATGGTTTGGATGAGGCTCTTCGGGATATTCTAGACCTGCCTGAATGAAGAGTCCTCCGCCTTTCCCTGTAGCATGCACCGCGAGCGGTTGTGCTTTGGCGATGGCAAATGTTGTACATACTTGGCTTTTTTGTATAATGTTTAATGTCGAAAACACTCGTACATCTTCCAATACAAATATTGGTAACAGAAAACGTTGGTATAATGTTTAATGTCGAAAACACTCGTACATCTTCCAATACAAATATTGGTAACAGAAAACGTTCTGGCAGGAGCACACAACATGAAAGTTGTCTAATAAGGAAGCGGTTGCTTAGAGTAGCGTTGTGATATGTACTGTGACAGTTAAAAAAAGAGAGGCAAGACTGTGTGCGAGACGCTATCCATACACCGGGCCTGACCTCTTTCGTATTTCTAAAAACCTTGCTGCCATGGTCTTTATCGTATACTCCATTACTTGCCGATATACCTCCCACTCAAAGTCCACGTGTACGATTCCAATGTCGTCACGCAGATCTGGGGGAATGAAAGGACTCGTCTCCAAAAAGTGACCACGGAAAAGTTGATTGTATTGAGCTGCATGCTGACGGAATGTCATTTGGCTGGGGTCGGCGGGGTTGGGACGGCCAAACCACCGTTGCCTCAAATGATTCCGTACCGCCACTCCCCCGTTGAGGGATATTTCGTGTGACCAAATGAGCATCTTTTTAGGTGTGTGCGGATCGTTATGTCGAGCAGCATCCCAGCTCCCAAATTCTGACTTCCATCTCCGACAGTGTTCGACCATCCAGTCCGTCCTTTCCTTCCAATCACCATTGTTGACGATCCAGGTCCAAGAGAAGAGCTTCTCAGCTTGCCACCACCAATCGCTGTTGCGGATAGTGTCATCCTCAGCACGAGCTCCCTCGTATACCAAAATGACTCGCTCGTTCTTGGCAATCATCTCCGATACACTGGCATAGGTTTTGTGTTGCGCCAGGTTACGATGAACATATGGCTTGACGTAGCTTAGCACGAGCCTTGCAATTTCCGCTGTGTCAGTGTTTTGCGTATATGCATTTCGCAGCAGTAAAATCAATATCTCGGTAGGATGCCCCTCCAAAAAGGTTTGAATTTGCTCGAGGACGGCCACTGCAGATTGATATGCGACCGCATGGGCGACGTGCAGTTCGTTCAGGCCATTCGGTCGAGCAAAGCGCAGGTCAAAATATCGACTGCCGTGAAGTAGCTGGGTCCTAATGTCCGTTTCTTGCATCCTTGTCATTCCTTCAACCAAATCCCTTATTCCGGGAAGCCAGCGGAAGTATGGAAGCAGGATTGGAATGGGTTTATTTTCACTTGTGTGCACAAGGTCGGCAGAACCATACGCGCCCGCATCATGACACCCAGGGAAGACCAGGTCCTTGAACGTCGCCTTTTCTTTCAATTCGGGTACCAGACCCCCCTGCCAGTTCGCCCACGTCTCGTCGTCGTTCGCCGTCATGGACCGCATCGTTCAATCGCCTCGACGCCATGGCTAAAGTCTTTCGCCAAATGTCCGCGTTTGTCACCAACATGGCTTTTACGACTGTGCCACCGAGGCGATCGGCTGCGCCACCTGTATCGCGCCATTTCGAGCCAATCCATTGAGCATTCTTCCTCAGCAGCCCGCCGCCGAGGACGTCCTTGTTTCTGCCATCCCATTTGCTCAAGGAGAGATCTTTGCGATCTACAGAGTAGCCTTGCTTTTGTTATATCATCAAAGAAGATATCTGGAGTCGTCAACATGCTTTCCTCACTCTCTCGTCCTCTTTCACGGTCAGCACTCCGAGGGTTTGCAACCGTAGCTTCTGCGAACCCTGCTGACAAATATAAGGTATAGATCAGCGACACACACATGTCGCTCACTCGGTTGGCTTTGCTTGTTTGTGCAATACTCTTATCACCGGCTGTATAGGTTGTTGTTGTCGGTGGTGGCTCAGCTGGTATGGCCGTGACGGCTCAGTTGGCGCGGGATCCTTTGTTCAAAGGAAAGAAGGACATTCTTGTTGTGGATCCCAGCGCGAAGCACTACTATCAACCTCTATGGACATTTGTTGGAGCGGGCTTGAAACCTTTCAGTGACAGTGAGAAGCCCATGAGCGAGTTGGTGCCCGAGGAGGTTAGTCTGCTGCAGAGTGTACACGGTGAACAATGTGACAGATCCTTACCATCGCGTACTTGTAGGCCGAGTTGCTTCAAAAGCGTGTGACAAAGATTGATCCAGAAAACAAGGTCGTGCTGACCGACGGAAAGGAAATCAAGTACGATTTCCTAGTTGTTGCATCGGGTATCAATGTGGACTGGGACAAAATCCCTGGACTGCAAGAAACGCTGGGAAAAGATGGTGTCACTAGCAACTACTCTGCGGAATCTGTGGAGAAGACGAACGAGTTCATTCGCGCGTTTAAAGGAGGAAACGCCATATTTACTCAACCTGCCACGCCCATCAAATGTGCGGGGGCCCCTCAAAAGATCGCTTATCTTGCCGAAGAGATTTTTAGACAGAACGGAATCCGGGATAAGACGAATGTCCAGTTCCATACCGGGATGGGGAAAATCTTTGCCATTGACAAGTATGCGGCCGAATTGACAAAGGTCTGCCAAAGTCGTAACATCGATGTGAATCTCCTCTCCAATCTTGCTGAGATTCGTCCAGACCGTAAGGAGGCCGTGTTCAAGAACCTGGGTCCTCAAGGAGGGGAGAAGACCATCAAGTATGACCTTCTGCACGTGACTCCACCCATGAGTGCTCCTAAGTTCATCAAGGAGAGCGGCCTCGCCAATGCTGACGGATGGGTCGACGTGAACAAGGAAACAACGCAGCACAATAAGTACTCCAACATTTTCGCTCTTGGTGACTCTAGTAGTCTTCCAACATCAAAGACGGCTGCTGCTGCCGCTGCCCAATCTGCTGTGACCAGTCACAATCTTCTTAGCACTATCAAGGCCGCGAAAGAAACGCCAAGCACATATGGTGGATACACTAGCTGCCCACTAATTACTGGACGTGGCAAGCTCATCCTGGCCGAGTTCTCTGGATACACAGGCCAACCTCAAGAGGTAGGTCAACCATATGGGTCAGCCCCACAGCCAGCAGTCCAGTGCTAATATTGTCATCTAGACCTTCCCGTTCAACCAGGGCAAGGAATCCGCATTTTCATACTATCTCACGTCTGACGTAAGTTCTTGGTCTGACCTTGGCGCACCGCGACGAGGACTTTACCAACATGAATTTTCATCATTTTATAGGTAATCCCTGCGATCTACTGGCACGGAATGGTGAAGGGCCACTGGACCGGACCGGGATCGTACCGGAAATTTACCAACCCTCTGTCGTCAAACTGAGGACCTACTGTTTCCTATGATGTGCATAATTCATTTTCATTGTTCAGTGTCATTGTAATTTTGGTTTATATGCGGGTATCTGCTTGATGGGGCCACTTGCGCCAATCTGATGGGGACCGGTAATAGAAAGTTTCTTGTGGATCTTCAGTGCCAGTAAATTGGATACTATAAATTATTGCTATATAGCAGGCTAAAAACAGATAAACTCCACCCTCCACCAGAAGTGCAAATCGACCTAGAAAGGCTTACGAGAATTTGCGTCTGGAAGGACGGTTCCCTTGATGACTCCCAAATAACTAGCGATAGTCTTCACCAGATTTGTCTTTTTTCTCTGTGGTGTTTCCCGTGCGGCAGTGTCTGTGCAAGCATGGTGAGAAGTTCGCTTTCGTAAGGACCAGGTATGCATCCGAACTTACCAAAGGCCGGTAGTGTATATTCATTGGCACTCAACGAAATAAAGTACATGAACGGAATCAACCACACAATAAGTCCAAAGAACGTTGCTATTTCCATGAAAGTGTGGTAGTGATCCGTGAAATAAAAGAACCACACAAAATGATCAACGATTACGAGAACTAAAGTGAGACATTGGTCATGTAAGTGCCGACCATCCAGTATCTCGTTTCTGCCTCGGGGTAGTCAATCATACCGCAACTGAGAACGAACGCGACACTTGACAGCTCAATGGTTGGGAAAGTTCGCAGGAGTTGGCTGTACCAGAGGTGACAAGACAGCGAAAAGAGTATTCGGAGAAATGGGAGGCCGTCTACTAGCCATAGCAGAACGTGTGCTGCCATCGTTGCCTGTACAATGGTCTTTGTGAGTTCAACATGGCGGCCCGGACGGCGTGATCAACTACGCACTATTGTCGCATATTTGATGACCCGCTTTGTCAAGACTGTGTGTTCCTGCAAATTCATTAGACCAGCAGGTATACCCGCTTTTGACAAGATCCAATGCGTACCTCGACTAATTCTGCCAGGTAATACAATCCACAGGCTGGCCGTCACATCACGCAAATAAATGAAATGCATGTTCCACGGCAACTTGGCGACACGAACTCACCCAAACTCAACGTGATAAAGGCAAACCCAAGTAAACCCCCTAGGTAAGTCAGAAGACTTAGAAAGATCATCGTTGCATATCCGCGAAAAAAGGTGTGAACAACGGTCGGTTGAGCTCAAAGTCCAGAACGCGTCATGCAACGTGCCCATGTTTTGGTTTGAACCACTCGAGGAGGTTGGGCTTCAAAAGTTGGTGTTTGCCTTCCCAAATGTCATTGAAGATCCATACAGATGAGAACGTCGAAAACTCTAATACTACATTATGTATGATATAGTCTCTATGCGCGCTTTTTGGTTTTGGACTCTTGTGTTCCTTTCAAGTACTTTCTCCGCTGTCCCATCATATGAGAATACATTTTAAACAGACCTGGAACAACCAGATGTAATGAGAAACAGCCGCATCCAAGCTTAACGAATTGCCTTGTGAACATACCAGGAGGATATAAGCCAGCAATGATGACATAGAGGGCCCAAAGGCGTTCATCAAATTGTCGGACGGCGGACAGGGATTGGATGAGCAAGATCCATTCACTTCCAGCACCAACGGGGTAGAGAATAAAGAAGAAGTTGTACCTAAATGATGCAACATGTGAGCACCGGCCAGGGCAAAACATTACTTGAAAATGAGATTGCTTACCGGCACCAGATGAGCCATGCAGGTTGGGATCCCACAAGATTGAATCCATAATAGAGGTAACGAACAATCTCGGCAACACACCATGCTCCAACCATCGTGGTGAACGCCCAGTGCTCCCGAACCTAGGAGACAGATGACATCAAGTATCAGAGCTCCGCATCTATATATGTATCCCTTTGGACAGAGTATGTACCTCGGGGATATTGAAAGGATAGGTAACGCCCCATACGAGAAGCAAACGCGACGAGACTTGGATCACGGTCGTTACGACCGGGGTTTTCACCAATCCTGTAGACAAAGCATATTTGAATGTGTGCAAAAAAACGCTTTCACAACAGTGGAGGCTGACCAAATATGGCATGAAGGACCTGTGGACATGCGCGATGTTTAGCAATCTAAAACTTCAAACCGATCAACTTTCCCTATGCAACGTACCTCTAGAATCGCCACAGATTGGACAACAGTCACCGTCCATCCACAAGCGTCATAAGACTGTTTTACATTTGTCTCTAGAACACTTTTAACGAGCAAGAACAGTGTAAATCCCCAGGCCGTGGCAGACGCGAAGTTATAAAGAGTGAGATATAGCTGCACAAGGGCAGACGGGCCTGTCGACGGAAAGGATTGAGTTTGCTTCATGACAAGAGTTCCCGGTTGTAAAGCGCATACCTCTTTTCGCTCCTTCTTTGGGGCCTGCCATCGTCAAAATGAAATCGTTTACAAGGGTAAACGGCGAAAAAGCCCAACTGGCCGTGAACGCATGTTGGCTTCCATGACTGTGCATAAACTTTCCCTTTACAGCTAAATGCATGACTAACTTTCGGGAGGAAAATCCAACCGGGCAGACTGCAAGTTTCTGATCTACATCTGGCATTTTGCCCAATCCACCTTGCTGACAAGACAGGTATATGAACGACTCAACATTTCCAGGAACAGTTATTATGACGGGCATGTCCCTCATTGCTCCCTTTTCTTAGAATGGTGAAACCCGGGGTGCGAGAAGACATTGTGCAAAGCGCGGTGCGCTTTCTGAAAGATCCCAAAGTTCAAGAGTCCCCTCTCGCCAAACGAATAGCCTTTCTCGAAACCAAGGGACTCAGTGCGGACGAAATTGAGGAAGCTATGAGCCGAACATCGGGCTCTTCATCTTCTGGCGCGACGTCAGCAGCAGTGGCCAACGGAGCTCCACCACTGCCACCGAGTGGTCCAGCTGGCTACGCCCAGTCTGGTGCCTATCCAGTGGTCTATAATGCCGCTGGCTATCCCCAGCCGGTAGCATATGGACCACCACAGGCAGTTGTACAGCCCTACACATGGAAGGACTACACTCTTGGAGCTGTGGGCGCGATCGGAGCCGGATATGGCGTATATACATTGGCAAAGGTAAGCCGATCAATGACCGGCATCGTCTTTAGTCCTGAAAATCTCAACACTCATGGTTTACCTAGCGCTATCTTCTGCCGCTCTTGAGTTTCCCCAGTGAAAAGTCACTGGAAGCCTCAAACGCGCAGATCGCTTCACAACTTGAGTCCACGTCTTCAGTTTTGGAAGTGGTAAAAGAAGAGACTAGTGAAGTTATGAAAGCAGTTGACGCACAGGCTGTCAAAGTGAGCAAGGCCTTGGAAGGCATGGTGGATACTTTGAAAGCTCTTCGTGAAAAAGATGAGCGAAGAGATAAGGAATTGGAGGAACTAAAAGGCGATATTGACAGCATTAGAGACATGATTCCCAAGGTGATTGAATGGGTGCCAATTTGCAACAAAATGCAACTATCTTACTGATTTTTATCCCTGGTAGATGCTGGACAAGACCAAAGAATCTCAAACCGCCGTCATATCCGATCTGCAAACCGAAATCAAATCCCTGAAGAATCTCCTCCTTAACCGTCGCCTACCTGTATCTGCACCTACCCCGTCTACCTCATTGCCTGGAACGAATGACGGCTCGACAACACCCGTGACAGAGCCAGGTCCCTTTGCACGAGGGGGCCTGGTTAACATCCCGAGTAAGCCTACCATTCCTGCTTGGCAGCTGCAGCAGCAGGCAGAAGCAGCAGCAGCGGATGCAACCCCTGCGGAAGGATCGGCCGACAAAGGGAAGAAGCCAGAAGAGTAGGAATATGTGGGACATTGAGATCCTATGACCCATGACAGTTTGCCAGAAGGACTGCCACCACAAAAGTATACACTGTAAAGGATTTATCGCACGCTTAATATATTTTTCATTTGAGCAAACAAAGGCATTTGAGAGCATCGAACATCAAGTAAATTACTTTATAGGGTCCTATCTTTCCTGGGTATTAACGCACGCACAATTCGGACAAAACCATTGAGTAATAGGAGGTGTGGTTAAGCCCACGCAACCATAATGGAACCAATTAATAGGACACCTCTACATCCGCGAAAATGTTATGAAAATTCTAATCGGTACGCCGTTCGCTAATCCGGCATGCTGTACTCACCAGTCCGCTGCAGGCAATCATGTTCCCTGAAGCCGGCTGGTGGACATTGATCGGATGAAAAGTTATTGGATGTGTTTTACAGGAATAAGCTCACTCACCTGTTGACAATAACATGACACCTGAGCAACTCGATGCTCCTCATTATTTACGGGTCCTAGTATAGACGAGTCGTCCTCGCGGCCCAATGTATTTGCGGCAGGCCAATACATGTCCAGGTCCATCCGATTGGTGTTGCTGGAGACCGTTTCATACGAGTCTATAGTCCTCGAATCTGACAGGTTCGAATAGCCAATATCGTGCCCATCATCCAACCTATTTGCTCTGAGACAGCGATCTATCAATGCAATCACCGTAGTGTCTACGCAAAACTGTCCACGTCCCAAGAGCTCCTGGAAACGAATACACACACGAAACGCATACGTGGAATACTCGAGTGGCGTCCGTACCAGGCAGTCTTCGAGCAATGAATAGCAGGTTTTCGCAAGTTTCTCTGTGGAAAGTGCGGCAGATGATCACAATTTCTGGAGTGCGCAAATTTTGATACCCAATATTAGCGCACCTGTAATAAGACCCCCATAAAGGGCGCTGTCAAATGTATTCAGTTCTGCGAGCTTCAGAAGCTCATCCAGTCCAAGAAGGTAATAATAGGCGGTATCCAATGCCGATGCGGTCGCATATTCCTCATTATCTCTTGCGAGAGGTGATTGCCAAGAGTGAAAAGGCAATCGTGCCTGTTCGTTCTGATCCTCAGCCAGTGGATCGGAAAAAACCTTGGGCAATACAGTTGTCGTAGGCCGCAAAAAAGAAGCCATCGCAGCGCATCCCCTCGCCATTACGAGAAGAGCCGAGGGAACAATCATCGTTTGCTCCTTACACAAATTGACAATGATATTGCACAACTGCTGACGAAGGTCGAACGGCTTTTGGACCGCTTCAGAGACTGTGGTGTTCTCCGGAAGCTCGTTTCCGTCTGTGGTCCCTTGCAACAAGCGAATATCATTCACTACCTGCCCGACAACGTAGATTGATTCGGTAATCTGCCGCACAACGCTGCTAAAGACGATGATGAGCTCTTCTTGTTGATTTGGTAAAAGGTACTTTGTCGACGCGAAGCCTGAAACAATTGAGCAGCTGAAATAGGATACGAGAAATAAACCCTCAGTACAAACCTAGGAGTTTTAATAGAAGTTCGGATGCTACAGAGATCACCCTCTCCAAGGACTGCAGTGAAGGTTGACTACATCCTTCTTCGTCACCATTGGCTTCTCGCTCTACCGACATTTGCAACAATTCTATTTTACGTCGAAAATTCTCCATAACGAGTCCAGCGGTCTGTTTAATTGTCGTTGCGATTGTATCGCCATAGTCGCTCATGATACCTTCAACAGATTGACTTCACTCAGCACAGCTATTACGATGAGATACGGGCAGGCGCCTCAGCATTTACCAGTACCTTTCCCCATCCCATCTCCGCAACTCCTCACAAGCAGTCTGACAAGCTCAAGAAACTCTACCCGCTCGCGTAGGCCAGTCTCCCCTTCGAACGGTGAACACTCTGATCGATCGTGATGATGTTAGCACCGCGTGTTCAGCTATCACACAGACTACAGACTTTGTACGCGTTGTACCTGCTTTGGCTGCCTCTGCGGCTTTCGCCTTCTGATACTTGTGGGCCTTTTGCTTGCGTTTCCCATTACCAGTTGCTTCTTGTTGTTTTAGAAAAAGTGATCTGACTTCTACAAAAACGCACCAGTCCCCGGTGCATGAGACGCAAGCGTTGTCAGCAGCTAATAGCATCCAAAGATTGCCTGAGGGCCATTATCATCAACAAATCTCGACCTAGTTCTGCCTGACAAAGTTTCCTGTTCTTCTCGAGTAACTCCTGCTCGAGCTCTTCCACGCGTTGTTCCAGTTCCGTCTGCCTACGGACGTCTCGCGCCTTCTTATTGACTTGCAGACTAGCAAGGGCGGACTCCAGATCCTGCCCCTTCCCTAAGTTTTCGCCAACGTTTCGAGCCAACTCGGATTTCGCCAGTAGACGAGTATCCGCCGTTATTCTCGTCAGCCGCTCGTTCAAAACATTCGGTTGCGATAACAGATCAACAAAGTCTTTGACATTGATTAGTTTGGTGGGATCGTCAGCTGTTACCCGCTTCCTACCTAGTGCAGACACCTGGTCCGGCTTATGCTTTGCTATCGCCAGCAGCTGATATTCAGCAAACGTTATAAACGTGATCTTCACGTCGTGATACAGAGACGGTACCCACCAAAGCAGCCTGTATGAGATCGTGCGACCTATCTGCCATGGCGTCCCTCCTATTCCCACCGTGTTGTTGTAAATGCGCAACTGGAAGCTCCACCAACTCAACGATGAGTTCGCTTACGTCAGCTATAAGCCGGATATAGTGTTAACCTAAGGCGCTGATTGGACGGTTTTGATGACTGTGCCTTCAGTTGAAAATTTCTTGTTCGTTCGCAACTTAAGGATGTGTCGTCGTCGTGCTTTTCTCGTTCTTCCTTCTGCTCATTTTAAGGGAGTCACCGCTGAGTCCATCTCCGTCCATTCCAACAAAAGACAAAATGGCTTACGTCGCTCCCAAGGGAAAGGCTGGTTACGAGGAGGCTGTTGAGCCCAAGATCCACCGCATTCGTATTACCCTCACTAGCCGCAACGTCAAGAACCTCGAGAAGGGTACGTACCAAAAGCGTGCTTCATATAAACCGAGCAAATGTCTGACTTGTTTCTCAATACAGTCTGCGCTGACTTGATCCACCGTGCCAAGGACAAGCAGCTCAAGGTCAAGGGACCCGTCCGTCTTCCCACCAAGGTGCTCCGCATCACCACCCGCAAATCGCCTTGTGGTGAGGGTTCCAAGACCTGGGACCGTTACGAGATGCGTATCCACAAGCGTCTCATCGATCTCCACAGCCCCTCGGAGATTGTCAAGCAGATTGTATGTATATTTCTGGCACGGATTTGAAACTATCTGTCTAATGTCTAATTCTTGTAGACTTCCATCTCCATTGAACCCGGAGTCGAGGTTGAGGTCACCATTCAGAACGCTTAAGCGTTAATGCCTCTGATGTGCTAAATGTTGCGTAGCATGTGTTGGATTTAATATGATCCTGTGAAGCATCTCTCTCGGGCATCTTTATGAACTGCAAACGAATTGTGTGTGTGTGGTGTCTGTGTGGATTACTATTGTACAAGGGCTGAGACTACGATCGTGAGAGATATTCTTGATCGAATCGGACAACTAGCACACTCAAATTGTCCGTCGAAAAGTTCTCCAGCGCATAGTCCAAAAGGTCTTCCGCAGCCTGCTGCGGATCTGTCACATCCTTTATCAGATCAATTGCAGTTTGGTCGGAACAAACGTCCCATATCTACAGGAATGCGTCAGGCGTTGCTTAATGTCGGAGGGGACCAATCGGACTTACGCCATCACAAGCTAATATCAGACATGTGTCTTTCTCGTCTAATATCGTTTCTGCTGTATACGGGCTCCCAATAATCCAGTCTTTCATTGTGATATCTCCTAAGGAACGAGTGACCGCCAAAACACCTAAACAATGCCCGCTAATCAATTGTAGGTCCCTCTAATTGAACCAATTTATGACGTACCGTTGACTCGGTTATTCATAACGAATCCGCCGGAATCAACGATCCGTTTTGCTTCTAATGGATCAGATCCTTTATGATCGTACGATAATCGAATAGCCTTTCCGTCTCGACTGCATGGGGCTCATTTGAGACGACGTCGTTGACATGTAGGTTCTTGCATTTGTGACTCACCCTAATACGGCTCTTGCATCCCCCACATTTGCAGTATATAATATTCTCTGTGGAGTGTCGCGTTATTAAAATACCAGTAATGCAACGTTCGAGAAGGTACCTACTCGCTTTCGTGTCTTTGCTCCGCTGTCGCTGCTTGCATTTGGACTTGGTCGATCTTCTGTTCGTATGAAACCGACTACTGCTGTACAACCAGAGTACGAGGCTTTTCTTTCGCCCAGTTGTGAGTCGGTAACGAGGAATGAATCATTTAGCAGTTCTGGAACAGCCGTCGATGGACGTTCTTGTAGCAGTTTCTCAAAATTCTTTCGCGGCACAAACAGCAAGGTCGTTAGATCCCACCCTGTCTGGGCAATTGCTTCTCATTCAGTGTCATGTAACCCACCTCATGGAGATGCTCTCCGCACCATTCAGCGGCCGTTTTCCCTGCATGGCCGTCATAAATGGCAAACCACCCTATAAAACGGTCAATAACACGAATAGCCAAGCACCTTGTACAAATGTTCTCACCTGATCCATTTGTATTGGTGAAATTATAAATGTAAGCATGCGCATCCTGCCAACCAGCGCGTAGAGTCGATTTACAAACAGCCTCTCTCAAAGCTAAACAGATTGACCCCTTACCTCCATCGTTCGTCGGTACTTTTTGTTCTTATCCTCTGCAAATCCAATTTTGAAGCCGTTCGAGCGAGAAACCTCGTCGTCAAACGTCAGCGGACTATGAACACTATCCGGGCTCTGTATGTACTTTTCATCCTCCACTTCGCTTTCACCCGGGCTATAGACCATTGATCGTTCATCCGGTGTGTTCAGCGGGCTCGTACTTTGGGTTTCGGAGCCAGTAGGTGTTTCTGCTAAGGTTGCCCCCACAGGTTCATCTAGCTCGTCTAGCATAGTGGTGGATGGGGCCGAAGAGGAAACAATGTGTTTATCGTCCGTGGACCTGATTTGCAAGAATGGCGACGACGACGAGTCTGTGCCTTTGGGAAACTTGTGGCCAGCTTCTGCCATTCTCATGGGTTCTGGGCTTGCGACAATGATGCGCGGTCGGTTGGAAGAAGCGGTGGAACCGAGCTCGCTGGTGGTGGGTGTAGAGGGTGATGCAGAAGCAGCAGCAGACGATGCGATACCGTTGTTGTCGTTTGCCAATGAAGCGTCGTCGGCCATCTGATAAAAAGAAACTGCGAACAAAAGGAAGGGGGGGGAGCGAACTTGCCAAGTTCACCCAGACGCGGTATTATTGTCCTGTTATGGCAACAAGTGACATTTGGGATCATCACTTGACGGGATGTGTGTGTGGCAGGTTGAAATTGCCAAGTTATCGAGATCACAAAACGAATTCCGTTTGGAAAAATGACGCCAATCGCCTTGGCACGCGGCGTCAGATCCCTGCGAGGGCGACGTCTGGTGGGATGGCCCTTTCTGTCAATCGCCGCTGGGAACCGGCCATTTCCTCCCACGTCCTGCAGCAGCCTCTCCACGTCAACACATGCGTTGCCCGCCGGTGAATCGCACAGTTGCGACGTTTGCATCGTAGGAGGGGGCACTGTGGGCACAGCACTTGCATGTGCGCTGGGTATGTGACATTGGTGAGCTGGAATACATGTCCATAAATGTCATCTCATCTTGCTTTGTTTGTGTGAAATATTAGCGTCATCTCCAGCTGCATCCTCCTTGAACGTTGCCTTGGTGGAGGCGGGTGATCTGTATCGTCCTCTAAATGCTCAAGAAGGCATCTATTCCAATCGCGTTAGTTCCCTGACTCAAGGAACAGTTGGTCTCCTCCAAGGTTCTTGGTCATTTTTTACATGTGGGCCATTTTCTGGTTCAGAATGATTCGCTGAACGTCCTCAAGATTTGCAGGTGTGGGAGCGAATTGAAGCGTCACGACGATGGCCATACAAGAAAATGCAGGTTGATGAAAAACTTTCCAAGAAAGGATCGCCGTATTCCATTTAACCTAACGCGAGATCTGCAGGTGTGGGATGCCATTGGAAAGGGCAAGATAGCCTTTGATGCAGCTACGATTGGCGCAAATTCTATTGCGTACATTGTAGAAAACAACCATCTCCAAGCAGCTCTGGTTGAAAGACTCCAAGAGGCGGGAAACTCAGTCAGTGTGTTCAATCGCGCCAAGGTGCAATCTATTGTGACTGACGAAGGGAAGAGCGCAACCGGCTGGCCAATTGTTCAGTTAGAGGATGGTCGGACCATTCAAAGTAGACTCTTGGTGAGCATGCACTCAATCGTGCTCCTTTACCAGGCGCACCAACGTTATGCTAAACGTGATGTAAAGGTGGGCGCAGATGGCGCGAATTCCAAAGTTCGGACGTTTGCTGGCATCGATTCTATTGGATGGGACTACTCGCAAATGGGCGTGGTAGCAACGCTCAAGCTGGCTCCCGGTGTTGAAAATGATACTGCGTGGCAACGGTTTCTACCTACCGGTCCGATTGCTCTCCTCCCTGTAAGTAAACCTCAGAACAATCACAAGGTAGTATCACCGTCCTGACCACTTCGTAGTTGAACAACGGCTACAGTTCATTAGTCTGGTCAATCACTCCTACCCTCGCATCACGTGTCTGCTCTTTACCTGAAGCAGAATTTGTTGAGCTCCTCAACGCCGCGTGCACCTCACCGTCGGCTGATATCCAATATCTCTGCGCTCACATTTCGCCTGACGGAAAGCCGTTGGTTGATTTCAAGGAGGAATCGACTTGGGGACGTCAACGTGAGGCTGCCTATGATCCATCCTCACAACCAATTCCCCCACAGGTTGTTGGTGTGCAGGCAGGCAGCCGGGCTGCTTTTCCTTTACGATTGAGGAATTCCGAGTTTTATGTGAAGAGCCGGGTCGCCTTGATAGGGTGAGCTCTGCCTGTCACTCTGCCTGTCACGGCACCGTATCGTCCCTTTTTCATCTTCTCATATCCAAAATTGTTACAGAGATGCTGCACATACGGTTCATCCGTTGGCAGGACAGGGATTAAATCTGGGTTTAGCAGATGTTGAAAGTTTGGCGCAGGCCATTACTGATGGTCTGCAAGTAGGGCAGGACATTGGTAAGTCCGCTTCGTGCGGGAAATCATGACGCGCATTCTTATTTGTTATAACGGACAGGTCACATACATCTTTTGGAGAAGTACGCCCAATCGCGGTATGTACCAAATTTGGCCATGATGAAGGCAATAGATAGTATCGGACGTCTATTCGGGACTGACCTGGGCCCCGTGGCCGCCCTGCGGTCATTTGGCCTCAACCTGACAAACTCTCTGTCTCCGGTGAAGGTAAAAGAATTTTGCTTGAGGATTACGCGCAACTGCCCCTCATCCCTTACGCATTTTAAAATTTAGGCTCAAATCATGCGATATGCAGGTCGCTCGTTGATATAATACCAGTCACATTTTGTACAATAGTTTACAATTACATATGAATATATAGTTACCTTCATCTCTGGCACTGTAAAATGAAGAAGCCCACGAAAGACAGTAGATTATCATTTACCGGTGTCTCCTGACGAAGGAGCACTTTTTGATTTGTCGGCCGCAGCAGCCCCCGCATTCTCAACGGACCCTGCCGGTGAAGTTCGGCTTGGAACGCTGGCGGGGGAGGACGTGCCGACCGCAGGTGCAGCAGGAACGGTGGTCTTTTTGGCCAGTAAAGATTGGAAGAAATTGGCGAGCACCTCGTTTTGACTTGCGGGTGGTCCACTTCCAGCCCCAAGAGCACCAGCTGCCCGCGATACCGCGGTTGAAGATATAAGACTTGCTGGCAATGGAATGTCACCAGTGGGAGATTTTATTTTGTCACGCGATGCGGCTAGTGCACTTTGTTCCTAGGAAGAGTCGTTTGTCGTCAGACGATGCCTCATCTGGACCATGGTCCAGTTTTGCAACGGGATGAAGCGATCAACATACCTTGGCTTTTGTCAACTTGGCCACCTTGGACGCGACATCTTCTAGAGAATTAGCGGACGAAGTCACTTGCGCTCCACCAAGCCGAGCTTTCAAAGCCGCGCTTGGGTCCCCGCCTGCAGGCGATGCAGGGCTTACATGTGGCGACTGTGGCGATCGAGCCGCATTTTGCAAAAGTTCCAGTTGTCTTTCCAAGAATGATTGCTCACTCTCTGCAGTTACTATGGGTTCCACGGAGAAAGCCTATTGGGAACAGTTAGTACGTACGAAGCTTCTAGTTCGCACAAGACTGCTAGTGCGGCTCTTACCGCTTCCGTGAACGGGTTGACTATTACGCTCTCATACAAGGCGCGGGCACTGGACAAGCCTCCGTCCTTAACATCTCCGTCGTTATTTGCTTCCCCAGCCATGGCACTACAATTGAACCCGTCCCTTAGGACCTTGATCTTCCCCCAACTGTCCCACCCGCTGGGAACAAATACAGTATCCCGATCGACAACCTGTGCCCGCAGACTGGAGACGAAAGGATTTGCGGCAGATTGTGCAGATACTGGTGCCCCTGCTGTGCTCGGCGGTCCGAGCAGTCGATGGATAACATACGTTCGGAGATCTTCAAGTGTTTGCTGTCGATGGGTGGATGTGTAAAAAAGGGCGGCTCCGTCTGTGAGAGAGAAAATATTTCACCGTAAACAAAAATGGTAAACCATTACAAGAGCATAGCGATACTTACATTTCAAACAGATGGTTCGCAGGCTTTGTTGTATAAAATCGAACTGCTCCTCCTTGTAATCCCGCTCCCGTTCCAGCAAAAAGGTGGCATCCGACTGCAGCGAAAAGTTTCCCGTTAAGTGAAGATGAGAAGATGATAGACGACAGACAATTACCTTGGCAGCTACTACAACAATGGGTATGCCGAGATTCTTAGTCAATGTTCCGGAACCTAATGGCAATGCTACCGAGTGCTGAGGACCAACGCCTCCCGCATGCTTTCCTTCCACTCCCTCTTTGCCCGATAGAGTCGTTTGATCTAGCGGCTCAGCGTAATTGCGTACATAGGCCTGACCTATAGTCCATTCTCACCACGATGAGCGATTCTGCCCAGCCCCCTCCAAAAGCGAAGAATCTTTGCATCACGCACCTCGGTCTTTCAGCTCCTCGAGCAGTTCGGGATTCCGCTCTTCCAATGTGGCAATGTGCTTCTCCAGAATGCTAAGCCAATCTTCCAATGTTTTGAGAAACGTCCATGGCCGAGCCCAATCAAGAACCAGAATAACCAAACTATCCGCTAATGTGTCCGCTTTCAATGCAAAACGGAAGAGGTTTCCAAACGCCGTCTCACTCGCTAAATGGTAGAAGCCTATCCTGGCGACAATGTCTATGTTTTGCAACAGTAGTAGCGGGTTAGCGATCTCAACTACGCCCACCACCGCCCGGAACTAACCTTCATGCTCTTCGTCCGCGACCTCCGTGTATGAGTAGGACAGCGCTAACCCTGTGTCTTCCTCGTCCACTTCCTGAGTGGCCACTGTTTGCTGACGAATGCTGTTGATAAGGGTTGTCTTCCCCGATTGTGGAGCCCCTGAGGCATGAATGGTTTGGGTCAGCTAGTGGGTAGCATCCAAGTGTGTGATCTGTAGAGCACAGTCATTTACCAATGACCAGGACATTCTTTGACTGGACGGTCTTTGAAGATGATACGCTCTTTAGGATGGACGCCCATATGCCTCCATTCTCGAGATCCCGTCCAGTAAGCCCTTCACTGCTTCCGAATAAGTGACTCCCAGCGAGACTGTTGGTAGATTCGTTCAACGGTGGTGACATGTTGTGCTGGGGCTAGTGCGCTGAACAAGGCACAGCGAGTCGGCCAGAAGCCTGCGAAAGAATGTGGAAGTGATGAGCCGGGCCTGCTGGGGAGGAAGGACTGTTGCTGGTGACTGATCGCTGCAGGCTTTGCCCCGTGCGATCTCTTTGTTGCAAGTTTTTGGACGCGTTAAGCTGGCAAGGCACCGTAGGAAATAGTTTGCGGCATTAAGAAAATGTCGTCGTCGGCTGGTCTGCGCAGGCGAGAGCGCCTTCTTGCTGCTGCACCGGAACTCATACAGTCACCGCTATCTGCTTCAAGCCGTCCAGAAAGCCCAACGCACAAGCACAACAAACGGCGCTCAAAAGCGAAAATGCGGGAGCCGTGCCAGCCGCATACAACTGGGACATTCCCCGCACTGGCTGCGACGTTGGCACCAGAGCTTTTGAATCATATCCTTAACTTTCTTGTCCGAGTAGGGTCAGAGCGTGACCTTCTTAGTCCAGCGAGAGTCAACCGGGCATGGTTCCATGCTGCAGTCCGACTGCTTTGGGTAGGTGGTATGGGAATGACAGGGCCTAAAGCCAGAGTTTAAGACCAACCCATTTGTTATCTGTATAGCGCAAACCTCCGCTGCGACCAGACACTTGGCAAGACTTCCTGTACGTCTTACGGCGTGGCGGAAACGTCTCGGATACTGCAGTGTCACCCATTCGACGGCGTGTTCTTCGGAGCGTTCCATGTCCGATAGTGTATGGAAGTTTTGTCAGGACATTGCATCTGTCGGACATTGCCGATAACGTCACAGATCGGATGTTGATAAGCATTGCTGAGGCTTGTCCCAGCCTGCGGGTTCTCAATGTCGAACGATGTCAGAGGGCCACTGCCCATGGAATAGGGAGGATCGTTGTGCGATGTTTATCATTGGAACAAATGGACTTGACGGGAATTCGGACTCTGAATGATGAAGCTCTCCGAGAGATGTTTCCTGAGCTCCGACCGAATGTGAAGAACATATCCTTAACACTTTCTCCTGAGGTGACGGGGCCTGGATTAGTGCGGGCCTTGTCTGCTCTTCCAAACGTGGAACGAATATGGATTCAGCACTGTGACATGCTCCGCGACGATACAATAGCTGGACTGCTAAAATCCTGTCCCCAATTAACGGACTTGTCGTTACTTGATTGTAGACAGGTAAGCCCCACGTCCAATCTTCACTCGTATGACTCTCCCTGACATATGGCAATATCTCTAGTGTACGAATGCGACGATCGAGTATATTGCACACAATATCGGCACTCGACTCACACAGCTTACCATCGGGCTCAGCGAGCATATTCGTGACCCTTCCATTTATACCCTCGCTACCCACTGTCGTAACCTTACGGGTCTCACCCTGGCTCTTCTTCGCCACATAACCGACGCTTCACTCATATCCATCTCTAAATACCTTCCCAACCTTGTGGAGCTAGGAATATTCTCATCTCCTAATGTCACAAATACGGGAGTTTCACGCATTGCAACCAGCTGTCGGCGTCTAGAGCGCTTGTGCCTTTACGATTGCCAAGGTCTAACTGCTGAAGCCCTGGTACCGGTGCACTTATGTCTGGATCGTCTTGATTACCTCAACATCGAGCATTGTCGAATTCATGAAGCTACCCCCGAAATTAGGGCTCTGTGGAAGCGATGCAAGGATTTCTACGCAGGAAAGGAACTGATGAATGCTCTCCACATTGCGGATTTGATGTATTATTCAGAGGGCTTGTTTGGTTTGAAGAGTCCCATCCAGCTGGCGTTTGAGATTGTATAGCAATTGTTAATGCCACTGCAGCAGGAAAATTGTGCTTTTGATTTTGGTATTCCACCTGTTGTTGAACAAGGCAATCTGTGTATGCTGCTCATAGTGCGGAGCCGATGGGTATTGGCACTAGCACCCGCACCAGGAATTGAACCGGCGACAACCAGTTCGGATAAGCTAATCTAACCAATCTACGCTACGGCTGGAACACCCCTGCTGAACACCTCTGGTCTACCGTGCCCATCCAACATTGATTGCACGATTGTCAGCATATTAAAGGTTGCCAGCATATCTCGGTTCCAGTAGCGCATCGTCCAGGCTTGCTGCAAACAGTTAGGGTTGGTACAACCCAGCAATCCGTGGACTTTTTCCATCTTGCCTTCGTGATGGTGCCAAGGTCTTGAATGAGGTTGTTCTTTGAATTCTTTCTCGACAAACTCAGAGGATGAACAGTGAGGGCAAACAGATGAGGTCTTGTGTTCATCAAGAAGAAAACAATCAATGTGGTTGCGCTTGAACAGGGTGTGCCAACCTTTCATCTTTGATGAGGTCTGAAATCTCGCAGTTCAACCGGCATTGCTCCAATCACCCATCACAATGGTAAAGTTTTCACTGTATTTGTTGTGCATGGCACTTATGAGGTCTGATTCGCTTCGCTGCTGACTGATGAAGGAATGCCACTTCCACCATGTGTGGGCGGGATGGGAGTAGAATTCCTTGTGATGATCTGAATCTGCGCAGTGAATGAGAAGGTAGTGAGTGAAGTCCCTGAGGTTCATTGTCTTGTGAGATGGTATTCATGATTCTATGATGTCCATTCCCGCTTCCTTCTTCATCTGCTGTCGTTCCTTTTGCTGCCGACAGCTGCCTGTCTCCATGGCTTGCTGGTTTGTGGTGTAGCAAAATGTTGTACCATTGCTGTCCTGGCAGTAGAGAATGTTGCACTTGTTTGGGTTGATAACGACAACATTCTCTGCTTGACAAGCAGGTATGTAACAGGCTAGCAGGGACAAGAAGACAACAGAAAACTAGGGAAGACTTGGTTACTACTTGTTCTCCCTTTGAGCGGCCTCAGAGAGGTCCTCTTTTTATAGACAAAGGGGCTGACAAATGCTATATCCTAACTACCCAATCAGATCTCACCCACATCATCCTAAACTATTTGTCAGCCTATTGCACCATTTGCAACCAATCAGAACTCATACATGTCATCCTAATGTAACGACGAGGACGTCTTCGAGAGATCGCGAGTAAGCCCAAATCGGACGCGGGAAGCACGAATCGCGTGACCAACTCCACCGATTGGGTTACCGCGACCGAAAAAACCGGTTCGGAGAATGGCAATTGGCGCATTAGATTTCAGCGTGCCTCGTACAACCTGTGGAGGCCCGAGCCAGTGCGGAAAAGGAAGAGATCGGTACCGCCACCAATAAATCAGTTGCGGTGCAGCGACACCCATTAGTTTAGTTTAGTTTAACAGTTTATCCAAGAATCTTGTATAAAAAGGATGTATTCAATAAAATAAGTCGGGGGCAGAAGCCGTAGCGACACAAAATCCCCATAACTCGCTTCTCAACTCCAATCTTAGGTTAACAGGAACCTAACAGAGCGCTTCAACGGCCTGATCACCCGTACCGAAGCCTCTAAATCCTGCTCGGTTCACAACTAACCGACTCTCCTTGCCTCTCGCCCCCAAGTCGCTACCGACGCCCAAAGAAAGGATTCGGAGACTATGATTCCTAGTACGGCCACCCACATAACCTGCTAGGAGACCCAAGTCGTCTTTACCGTAGTCTACCAACAAAAAATCCGTTACATGGTGGAGAAGCGCGACGAACCGCCTTCCCCTCTCAAATTCAGCTGAAAACCTTATTCGGTCGTACCGAAACTCTTGCGCAAACCGAGATCCGCTCAGGTAGCTACTCGGAAACCTTTTCTCTCGTTTCGGAGACAGAACTTCACGAAACCGAGAATGATGCCGGTCGAACGCTCACCAACGCGAGGCCGCTCACCTGTGATCCAGACTCGTAGTCAGGGTCCTGCGGAGGACGTCGAAGTCCCTCCCGCAACACGCCCAAGGCGTTCAGGGACCACTTCCGTCGAACCGGAAGCCCCTAACTTGGCCACGATGGCCTCTGAAGTGGCAGCGTTAAAAGAAGACATTGCCCGCTCGACTGCTGCAACGCAGTTGGCAACTCAAAACCTTACGGAACAGCTTCATAGGCTTTCCGAACGTCAGACAGCGGCGGATGAGCGCCTCGCACGAGCCTTAGAAGCCCTAGCGCATCGCCCGCTGCCTGAACAACCTCCCATAGCACGAGCTACAAGAGAACGGTCCGCAACCCCGTGGGAAACGGCGGACACACCAAGGGAGCGTACCGAACCAAGTTTTTCAGGTGCGGTGCCTCCAATCCAAGTGCCAGCGGCCCCGTGGGCCAGCGACACCAAGGTCGATTCCTTGAAAGCAAAGGACGTACCCGAGTTTACGGGCAGAAGAAACCAAGACGTTGAAGAATGGCTTAACAAAGTCCAACTTCTTCAAAACGTTAGCGCAACGTCGGATGCCAGGATGGTACAGCTCCTACCAGCCATGATAGCCGAGAAAACCCCTGCTGACGCTTGGTTTTACACTCTGGAAGCCCAGGAAACTCGCTCATGGACCTGGAAAAGGTGGAAAGAGGAACTGCTTCGAGAGTTCCGAGATCCCCTAACCGAGTCCAAGCGCAAAACCGAATATGTGCGCTGCCATGCGAACCCCAAAGAATTTCGCAGCTTTCTCGCGTTCATCGACCACAAAACTCATCTCCGGCGCCTCGCTTATGGCGACCGGGCAAACATAGAATGTCCCGCTGACCAGCATTTCGACCTAATAGTCGAACAATTGCCCAGCGACATCCAAATCATGGTCAAATCCTGTAACGTCACGAACCTGACCAAATTAAAAGACTTCCTGCGCCTTTATTTCGGCTCTGATGACACCAGAAAACGAGACCCTTGCTACAGCGGTGCTGCAGAAGCTCAGAAGAAGTCACAAAAGACCGGAACCGACAAAGGCCCTAAGCAGACGGCTCCGCATAAAACCGGAAACCCCGAAAAGGGTCGCGATGGTCCTCAGAAGATGGTTCCGGACCCCAACAAGGAACCACCGGCACCCTGCAAATTCTGTCAGAAAAAGCATTGGAATGTTTTCTGCTGGCAGAACCCGAACCGAAAAGATCCTGAAGATGGAAAGAAAGGACCATATGGAGCACCCATGCCCTCAGGTTGGAAACCCAAACAGGAATCGAAGAAGGCGTACATAGTGGAGCTGGACTCGACGTCCGCTACCACCGAAACTCTTTTTTCGGCTTCGGAACTGGAAAGAACGGAAGCCGCTAATCAAGGATTCCACACCATCGGGTTCTTTCATTCACCCAAGCACTCGGAATCAACAATTTTGATGACCGCACCTCTTTCCAAGGTCACGGTGACCAAGGAAGAGGACCCCCGCACGCCCACGCAGGGCTGGGACCGAGTCTGGGACAACATAGCCATCATCTGGGGCACCCCGCAAGTGGCTCTGATGATGGGCAACAACCCCCGCGCGCTCAGCTTCTTCGCCAAAGAACCGAAGCGAGGCGCCGGGCACCTCGGGAACGACCCCTACGCAGTCGCGTGGAGTTCCCACCACCTCTACATCGCTGCCGCAGCCGAAGCTGACAAGGATCGAATCCTGCGAAAGGTCCGAGAAGACGGTACCCCTCGTTTGATTCTCCTTGCCTGGATAAAGCTCGACGAGCGCGAGAAATTCTTGATGTGGAGCTCTGAAGATCCTGTTATCTTTGATGCGTACGCCAACCTGCAACTGGTGGCATTTCTCCTGACAGGCAATATCGTTCGCTCAGACTATTATTATCGTCGCGGAAACCCCAAATTTCGGCACGTTAAAGACCATCCACGTCTCCAAAGACACGAAGAGAGCGAACGGACGCGTATAGTCATGCTGGCTATCGAACAAGTTGCTCGCCAGAATAAAACAACAAAACCACAAAACGACAAAACTAGAGAACACTTTGAGAGTGTGATCAAGGCTACGGAAGCAACAATTAACGACATCGCGCCCCATTTCGAGATCGCGGTGCCTTCTATCAACGCCTTCTACTCAGTAGATTTAGGCGATGTACTCAAAAGCCAGACTAAGACCCAAACGCAGCCTTGCTGGACGCTAGCCGTCATCGCGCAGCTCTGGGCACCTGTGGTACTAGACACAGGGGCCTGCGAGTCTCTGATTTCCGACACGTACCAAGGCCTTCTGTTCTCCGAAACCGATTTGCAGGATGCGGAAACGATGGCTTTCAACGGCATTGGTGGACGTATCTCATCTACCAAGACAGTATGCCTCGAAACTTCCCTCAGAGGCCGCGGCGGAGAATACCTGACTTTCCGCGCCTACTTTCGGGTCATCGCGTACGGGAAACCTCTCATCATCCTAGCCAACGACGTTTTGGGACATTTGAAACTCCAAACCTTGGTTCAGGAACCCCCGTTACCCAGTTTCGCGGTGACGCTCAAGAATCCAGACATCCTTATCCCCTGCTCCATAACGGATGAGCTGGATACCGATCACATGCGCGGCACGCCATACAAAACCAAGCAGGGTGAATTCATGAAGGATGTGTCAATGCCACGGCTGACCAAAGCCAAAGCTCAGAAGTCTAGATTAACCATGTTAATCACGGGACAGACGCGCGTGGCAGCCCAAACTTTCCTCATCGAAAACCCTCTTGATGCCACCGCAGCTAGCACAACGGCCCCGTTAGGCCTCAAACTGTCCACCGCGACCCATAATTCGGTCGCGGACCCCGAAGAGAACATTTCCGAAGAAGAATGGCAGACACTTCGGAACAAATGGAACCTCAACTCTACAGAGAAGGCTCCAGGGGCCTTCGAAGCCCAATTAAAAGACGCGGAACGTTTCCACGTCGATCTCAAACGACCCAAACCCGTGGTCTGGGCCCTAATCAACATTCTACGACACTTCCATCAAGCCTTCAGCTATGAGGGTCATCTCATAGGGAACTACACCAAGATTCCTTATG